CCCCCCTACTCGCGGGGAATCCCATCTAGGGGCTCCGGAGCGAAGTGGGGTGAGAAGCGCGGTGCTACGAACTGACTGCTACTTTCACGGAGTGAAGCCGCACAGCCATTGCCAGAGAGCGCTGACTTTTTCCTGTGGACAATTGGACTTAAAACAAGTACCCGTGAGTAGAAACGGAAAATTGGATCAAGAAATTGTTTTAATTTGATATCGAAGCGGGAAGGTGCAAACAGGAAGTCCGCCTTCCGCTTTTTTGTATATAGACTAAAGCAAAAAATTTGCAAGCTAAAGCCGGGAAGCTGTCAAAAAAGGACTAAATTTCCTTCATTTAGAACCACCGAAACCCCCCTTGGAAGCAGGAGAAAAGGGGGGGGGAACTCTGTTTAACCCTAGCAGGAGAGGGAGTGAAGAAGGATAAGTTTCCACCGTCTCTAACCTGGGAACGGGGTGTCAGAGACAGAAACTGTTGGAGAGGTTCATTGACTGTGAACGTAACACTTTGACAGATAGCCAATGAAGAGAAACAAGTTGATTCTAATGTTGCCTTTTGCATCCTAAAGAAACAAAATATCTGAAAAACGTCTGAAATATCTGAAAAATGAAAGTAACTTTCCTTTGTCTTTAAAAAAAAAATGGATACAAGTAGATTGTCTCCTCTAGAGGGAGCTTGCTAAATTGTTGTTGCAGCATATTTGAGACCCAACATCTGTGAGATTAAGACTGTGGGAACAGTCTTTTCTGACCTTGAACAAAGATGAGCTGGGAGAAAGACTGGCTGCTTGCTCTATGCAAGACAAATGCTTTGCTGGAACAGATGCATGAAAAGATGGACTTGATGAATGAGAAAATGGATTTGACTGTTGTGGTTAATAACATTGATACAGAAATCATCCAAGAACCAACCTATCAATCTGTACCGACTGGGCAAGTGCAGTTGACAATGGAGGAGGATGTGGCTGCACCTCAAATAGTACAAATGGAGAGACCCGAGGCCCTACAGGAGCATAAGCCGCTGCTATTGAAGATTGAAGTTGGAGTGGGCCAAGGGAGTCTGCAGATGAGGAGGTTCCTAGCTTTGGAGAGATCTTGAAATTTGATTTTAAATTTATTTTGGATTATATCGAGGACTGTGGGGAGTGGGACTGTGGGGAATGGGTGAGCTGGATGAAGGGTGATGGAGACAATTTTGGGTTGGAATCCCCCAGAGACCTACTCCTCAATGAGAAAGGAAAGAAACTAAGACAGAGACCAACAAGAGACAAGGAAAAGGGCAAGCACAAACAAGATGAAGAAGAGTTGCAGAAGGGACATGGAAGAGATTTAAGGGCCTCGGACATAAGGCTTCCAGGTTGATGGACTAGACGGAATGGACAATAAGGACTGACATGACCCGAGACCAGGAAGAAGAGACGCTGGATGATGATTGGAAGAGAATTTATAATGGAAACTTTTTTATTTTAGAATCAGCTAATGAATATCAGGGAAAATGTGGGAAGGAAACTATACGACTCTAGCAGAAATGATATCAGGAGCTATGTATATTTGAAATTTAAGATTTAAGTTTTAAGGCACTTAGGGGTAAGATAAGGTTAAATAAATTAAGGTAATCTGAATAATAGAATATGGGGAAAGATGGTAAGGATTTGTTGAGTTAATTATTAGGTTAAATTGTTAAGATAAATTTTATAACAAAAATTGAAAAAGATGGAAAGAATTTGCTGAAATAATTACTAAACTAGAATACAAAAACGGAGGTGTGAGGAGGTCAATGAAACAAGCAAATGGAAATTATGGATATGCAATTTGGGATTTGTGTTTTTTTTCTTTTTTTTTCTTCTTTTTATTTTTTTATTGCTGTATTGTCATATTGGTTTTCACATTTTGTGCTTTTCTCTTTTTTTTACTGTCTTCTTTTTCTTCTTTCTTTTTTTGTATTGTAGTGTTGTTTTTTATTTTTTATTTTTCCTGTAATTTTGAAATTATCAATAAATATTATTTAAAAACAAAAAACAAAAAACAGAAGGTCGGCAGTTCGAATCCCCGTGACGGGGTGAGCTCCTGTTGCTCGGTCCCTGCTCCTGCCCACTTAGCAGTTCGAAAGCACGTCAAACTGCAAGTAGATAAATAGGTACTGCTCCGGCGGGAAGGTAAACGGTGTTTCCGTGTGCTGCTCTGGTTCGCCAGAAGTGGCTTAGTCATGCTGACCACATGACCCAGAAGCTGTACGCCAGCTCCCTTGGCCAATAAAGCGAGATGAGCGCCGCAACCCCAGAGTCAGCCACGACTGGACCTAATGGTCAGGGGTCCCTTTACCTTTACCTTAAGAAAGTGATACCCCTTAATAAGATATAATGGAGGAAAGCTAATTCCTTTTACCTCCACAACAAAAAGCCCCTGGACGTATTTATCTGCCATTTGGCAGCCTCAATCCACTCTGGAGTGTTTCCTGTGCCTGTAAATTTCATCAACTTTGGCCAAAAGGGGGAAAAATAGCCATTTTTAGATTTTGCATTATACTTAGTGGGGAAACACAGTGCTTTGCTTTATACAGAATGGCTCAGAACTCGAAACACAGTTCAAAGTGGAGAGAAGGCACAGAGTGACTCAGACACAGATTGTATTTTTATTTTTTTTAAATGCATAGCGTCTGTGTATACCACTGCTATATATCCTTAATTATGAATAGCCAGTAAGGATAGTATATGGCGGATGAAGCGGTGGGCTCCATCTCTCTAGTGGGCATCTCTCTCCCTTCATTGAAGCCTTTTTCTTGTTGCAGTGCATAAGTTGATGTTCGAGTTTCAAAATTAGAAACCCCATGTTACAAAGAGATGAATGGCTCCGTTATGCAGCGGAGATTAGTTTGAATGTTACTCATTACCCTCTGGGGCTGAGGCAGGGGGGAATTCATAATGCTTTATATGCACTGTGGATTACTTGACTGGCACCTTGTTGCCTAATGGTTTCCATGACTCATAAATGCAGAATATATACTTATAACAGAAAAAATGCATTATTTCCCCGTTTCTTTGATGCCATTATAAAATGTGTGATATTTAAATACCTAGGCATTTATAACAGAGTCATATATTCAGTAGGGTAGCATCTGAGCACCTGGAAAAAGAAATAAGAGTACAGGAACAAGAAGAAATCACTAGGCATTACAAATATTTAGAGACTAGTCTCCATAGAGAGCATATTAGCTGTATAAACTGCCAACAGCAGCAATAGGAGAGAGCAGATTAAACAGCTGTAAAATGTGGATGGTGAGCACAAACTGCATATTAGGAATTGAACAGATATCTAGCTGTACTTATCAGAACTAGATAAACCACCATACCATCTAGTGCAGCGCTGCAATTAGCTACATTATGGTGGCATGTAGATCCCAATTTTTCCATTGTGATGAGAACAGTCTTGTTGGGTTTCTTTCAATCTCCCTGTAACTCATACTAGGCTTATGAACTTACTGGAAAAATGGGGTGTGAGTGTGCACTGCCCATGTTTCCAGTTGGAGGGCAAGCACCTGGTCAGCACCTTGGTTCTTTGAGGATGCTCTGCAACTTTTGTTTTACACACCACACTGGGAGCTTACATTACACAGCAGCAACCTGGGTTTGCTGCCTGTGGTACACTGAAGAGGGGGAAGAAGGCAGTCAGCATGGTGCTCTGAAGACTGCATTTGTGTGATGCTTGTGTGTTCACATACCACTTTGCCACATCCACACATTATGTTTCTAGGCGTCTATTGTAAAAACTCTATGTGTCACACCTCAGAAATGTAATGTGTGTAGAAGCCCTTAGAAGGCATGCATAGCTGAGTGGCAGAGCACATGCTTTGACTGCAGAAGGTCCCAGGTTCAGTACTTGGCATCTGCATTAAAGAGGTTCATAGCAGGTATTTTGTCTGAGACCAGGAGAGCCACTGCCAGTCATAGGCAGTACTGGGGCCAAATAGACGGCAGCTCCCAATGATCCCATGATGGCCAGTTTCTGATGCAGCCTCCCTAGTTGTTCCTTTAACAGTGATTTAATCTGCAGCAATTGCAGGTGGGGATCCCATTTAGCTCCTAGTCACAAAAGGTAGACCATACTGGCTATAAAAAGCTTCATCTGATCATTTCTGCATATCAAAACCCTTCTTAAAGGGGAAGGAACAAGCTCAATCAGGGAGGTTGTGCATAGCCAATTGGTAAGCTTGCCAGCTTACCTGAAAAGGTCTCCCTGTTTGTTTTCGGCTGGTATCAACTGTGCCAAGACGTGTGGGCAGTCTATTCCACGAGCTGCTGTTCCAAAGAGAATGTTTTAATTAAAGTGTCATGTTGCAAGAGGTCTAGCTAAATTCACTGAGCATGTTTGCCAGCACCAGAGATTCGGAGCAACTTTTTAATGCACTGATGAGTTTTTCCTCTGGCTAGAAAAGGAGGGAGAGAAGTTCTGTGTAGTGTTTCCCTCGCAAAAAAAGACAAATTGCTGCTTCTCTCTCTCTCTCTCTCTCTTTTTTTTAAATGGTTGGCAAGGAGACTCCTGTCTGCCTGGGCACTTCCTGCTTTCATTAGCATAGCCCAACCCACATCGAACAAACGCCCAGCACTACCTCATTTTAATGCTGGACCCAGGCCAAACGTACTACACTGAATATAAGGAGGAGAATGACTGCAAAGAGAACCATAAACTGTCATAAGGCTAGACCACATCTCTGGCTAGGGCAGAAAAAATATTGTGCTGAACATGAACAGCCTTTTAGATAGTTTGCATGGTTGAAAGCAAAACATACTCAGCAAGGTTCTGACACTGGAAGAAAGGAGGGGAGGGAGATAAAAGAACGGGTGTTTCTTTCACAGATCTGAAAGTATAACCTGACAGAAGAATAAGCGAATTTCATACCAACTTGGTGCAGTTCAACAGAGGCAGTGTTTTCTCCCCCCCTTTTCTGTTACTATTTTCTTCTGCTACAGAAGAAGGAACATTGTGAAGGAAAGGGGCAGTGGGAACACAGCATGGCAGGGGCCAAGCGAAAAAGGAAAAATGCCATCTGGAGAAAGATCCATGCACTTCGCTACGAAGACTTCAAACTGTGGTGTGTAAGGAGGCTCCCTGTTCTGGAGTGGGCACCAAACTACAACTGGAAAGCAGACCTGCTTCCTGACACAATTTCTGGGATGATGCTGGCTGTTCAGCAGGTGACTCAAGGTACTGTGCTGGAAACGGGCTCCGATAGCTGTTTAGCGTACAGGTTGAACTGCTCAAGCCTGTGCTTGTCTCCTACCAGAACTGATTTTCCCCATCCCCTTTCCTTATCCTTGACCCATTCGGTGTAACTTACAGCGGACGCCTACGTGTGTTTACGTGGAAGTAAATTCCGCTGTGCTCGAGGGGGCTTGCTCGCAGATTAAATGTGCCTTAACCTTGCTGAAATCAATGGGCATTTCTCCCCTTGAACATGCAAGCACACAACAATAGTAATATATGTTTGGCAGCGTTTTTGTGTGTGCATGCAGATACAGCATATAAATTGGGTGCCATCCGACGGCATATATAAGAGCGATTCTTGCTCGTCTCCTTTAAAAAATAATTATACCTGTGCAGAGAGGTTTACTGCTACTCACAGCAGAACCCTTTAATTATGAAGTGAAATTCACAGTACAGATCTATGCATGCTGATGTAGACGTACATCCCACTCTGTTCAGTGGGATGTATAGTAGGATTGTAGCATAAACCCTTTACTAATCTATCTGCTTTTACCCTCCTTTGTTGGTTGTTACTGTGCTTTATTGCACAATGTTTGCAATGAGAACAACACACTTATACTGACCTACCTTACAGCGTTCTTGTGAGAATTACTGCTTACCAAGATAGTGGTTGTGAAGTATTTTGAATGCCATAAACTGAAACGTAAATGCTAAGTGTTATTATAATTATTCTATGAAAATCTAGCAATTCACCTTGAAAGTAGCATCTTTCTCTTCCCCTGCTCATATGAGAGAAACAGTGAAGAGACAGACAAACATTAGCATTACCCCCTAGTGTTACCTGCCACTTCCTTGACAGCAACAGCCAACAAGCCACAAAGTTTAGCACATAAAATAGTACCTTGTTACATGTTTATCACGATAGCCCAAATTGTGGCCTTTCGCAGGCATGTTTGTCTTCTAAGATGTACTGTAAATTGCCATTGAAAGCTGTAATAAAAATCAGGGGGGAGCTCCACTTTAGTTTGGTTGCCATAGGTGCGCAGAAATCTCCCCCTGGCTGATACCTGGGGGGGGGGGGGAACAGATGTGAAAAGTACAAAACTGCTTAAATAGTTTTTGGAGAAATTAAGGTTTCTGTCATGTTATATATGACATTTCAGAAAAATCCTCCATTCAGTGTATTGTGAAAACAGCTGAAAGATCATTCAGAGGCAAACATTTTGTGATAGCTGTTCTTTTACAGATTCCCTAACAGCTAGCCTTAGTCCTCATTCATGCATTGAAAATTATAAGTGCTCCTTTAATTGAATTATTCTGCAGCTGGAACCAACCGGTTTGTGTAAGTATTTATGCTTTTGGAGTAATTAGGAACATCTGCACTGGCATGATTTAACTTTAAAGACCTTAATACTGTAGTACTGTAAAGGATCTTGTTTCACTGGTATACTCATAGACAACAATTGCAATTAAAACACAGCTAACAATGGTATGTTTGAAGCCAACCAAAATATTGAATTAAGAGGCAGGCAAGAGTAGGTAGTACTTTTCTCCAGCCTTCTTTTTTGGATTTCCACAAAAGAGTTCTTGGACTTTATTGGCTACAGCTTAGAATACGCAGGTGATGTTAAAGAAAACTACTATTTCCATTACATAAGAAGCTGCCTTTACATCAGGTGAGACCATTGATCCAATGAGCCCAATATTTTCCCTGTCATCAGTGGCTCCCCAAGGACTCAGACAGAGGACTTTCCCCCATCACCTGCTATCCTGTCCATCATATCTAATATAGTGGAGATGCCAGAGATCTTCTGCGTGTAAAATAGGTGCTCTGCCATGAAGCTATGGCCTTGATTATTTTAATAAAACAAATATAAGAACATAAGAAAAACCCACTAGATTATACCGAAGATCTGTCCTGTGCATTATTCTCTTTCCACCAGAGGCCATCAGATGCTCACGAAGAGTTTACAAGCAGGGGATGAAGGTAACGGCATTCTCTAGTCTTTGAGTCTCAGCACCTGTGAATGCAAAGGTATTCTATTTTGGAGCATAGTGATTCTTCCTGGCTGTTATTGCTAATGTAAGGTTACCAGATTTTTTTTCAATGAATCAAGCGACACTTTTCAACCTCAATTGATTTTGTATGTGGACTGATTTGTAAATCCAGGGACTGTCCCCGGGAAACGGGGACATCTGGTAACCTTATGCTAATAGTACTGATAGATCTCATTGAATTTGGCTAACTTCTTTTAAAGCTGCCTAAGCTAATGGTTGCCAGCATAGTATTTCATTTAGACTTCTATAAACTTAGTACAGTAGCATTCTCTAGCTCAGGACGTTGTTGGACTCCAACTGTCGTCAGCCTCAGCCAGCATGGCCAGTGGTCAAGGAGGATGGGAGTCTGTGTGTGTGTGTGTGTGTGTGTGTGTGTGTGTATCTATATATTTATATATATTCATTCTCACCCAGTCTATTATTGGCCCCACTTCTGCTTGTAGCATGGGGGCCATTGCAGTGTGGCTGCTTTCTGTGCCAATCAGAATGTCAGAAGCCCTAGGTCATGTAGCAAAACCCCATGTTGTCGTAGTTTACAGGATAACATAGCATTGGGGTACCCAAATCTAGCTTTTCCTATGTGGCTAGGAGCTTCCAATGATATCATCATGATGTAGAAAGGAACCGCAGGAAATCATGAGGATCATACAAGAGGGCGAGGCTTTAATATAAAGCAGATTCCAATTAAGCTTCCATTTAAAGGAGATTCTACAATTCCCTAGGCAACTTATTCCATTGGTAACTGTTCTCTGAGAAGGAATCACTCTCTTGGTATCTGCAGCCTACATCTGCTTTGATATTTGCTTGAATCCACAGAATAAATGGCTGTCTGAGCCATGGAATTATTCTGTTAACCAAACAGGTTTTGCCCAAGTGTTTCCTTCCACCTTTTGACTTCGGATCATTACCTTTAAGGAATGTTCAGATGCCATTCTGTCAAGCTTTACAGTTCATTCTGCCCTGGCACAGGATGATTTTGTTCTTTAAAAACTTGTGCAATATCTAAATGCTAATGAGAGATTTGATTCAAAAAGTTGAGAGGGGGACAGAATCAGATAGCATGGATATTAATCCCATAGCAGACACACACAAAGAAGGGATGTCAAACTGGAGTCTAAACTCTTCATTCAGAAGATGTCCAAGGGCTGCTCTCAGTTTTCAGTATTTGATTTGTGGTGTGGGATGCAATAAAAGGACCCGTAGTTAATTGCTAAGTACACTCGTTACCATCCAATCCCAATGTGCAAAAAAACTTTCATCAATACTGCTGCTGCTCCTAATCACCAGTTTCCACCCAGACCTTAAGACCTCCTTGCAATTCTAAGTCCCCTGTCATTTAGAGTGCTTCCATCCTGCAGTTTATTATGGACTCTGCACTGTTTTGCATGCAAGTTTTGCTCAGCATCCATAGAACGTTGTCTTCATCAAAACGCTGCCCTGTGTTATTTTCCTATTTAACCATGATTTACGCGGAAAATCTGATAAGAAAGCAAAACCTATGAAAATGGTCTGGATTAAATGAGGAGATGTTGTAGGATATCATTTTGATGAGGATGGCATTGTGTGAACACGGCAACAAAATTGAATGTTTGAGCAGCACCAAAACTGCCATGTGGAAGTGCCATTAAGCCCACGTACCACCGCTTGCCCTCCAAAATCCTCTTATACTCCAAAGCAGCTATCTTCACCAGTCATGCCACCTAAACATCTCCTCCATTGGCTACAGACAACCGCTTCCTATCTCTTTTGGCTTCGTGTCAGCATATAGCCAATCATGCACTCTCTATCCTTTTTGATGCTTGTGCTGCTAATATAAAAGGATGGCAAAGAGTTTGATGTTTAAGATATTGTAGTAATGGGTGCTATTGGTAGGCTAATCCTTCTGCTTCCTAGCTATTCAGATGGGTCAGTAATTTATGTGGAGTAAGCTAAGAGTGCCATAGAAACTTTGAAGGCAGGAGGTTTACAGTCCAGCCTGGAGGTGTGAAACCTCAGGCCAGGGGTCGAATGCAGTCCTCCAGGCTCTCACTCTGGCCTTTGGAAATTTCTTCAGCTCACACCCTTCACAGGTTCTGTTTCACACCCCAGATATTTTTGCCGTGGCTAGAATATGTTCTTGAGCCCTGCTAATGCCTGTTGCTTGTCTGAATGGAGAATAGAGAGGAGTGTGAGAATGTAGAAATGTCAGAGGTGAGCCAGCAGTACATCACACTGTTCAAGTTGGAATTAACTCTTTATTAGCAAAAACCTGATCCACACAGGAGTGTCAAGCCTAATGAACAGAGCAACTCATCACTGGTTGGCCTTGTCCCCATGAAGCAGTTGCTTAGCAGCCCAGTGAGATGTGTGGGGTATAAGTAGTTAATAATAATAATAATAATAATAATAATAATAATAATAATGGTATCCGCCTTCTCATAGCTGCCTAAGTCCCCTCCTCTCTGGGGTTTCCCCCCCAAGCAATCAGAGACTGCGTCTGCACGTCACCAATCCCTCCTCCACCCCTTTCAAGCCCTTCCTGGTCCTGGGAGACCAGAGGGGAGGGGAGCTTGTCACAGCAGGAGGGGGAGACACTTGTGGCTCTTCACCAACCTGACTCATCTCTGCCTCTTGACCTCTCTCCTCCTCTGCTTCAGCTTCTGCCTCTGATTCCAGACTTCTCTCTGCCACAGACTCTCACAGCTCACTGAGCCCTGTTACCACTTCAGCTTCTGACACCTCCTCTTCCCTATTCTCCCTCTCACCACTCATTGTCATCCCACCACCACTCCCTGGGCTCTGAGCCTTCTTCCCTTGGGTGTTCCCCAGCCGGTTCCTTCCACCTTTCCTCTGCACCCAACCAGTCCATGTCAAGAAACTAGCCTACTGTACAAAGACAAAATTTACATTTGTTGCTCTGGCCAAGCCCATGACTGGCACATGGCCCTTGGAAGATGGACCAGAAAGAAATGTGGTCCTTGAACTGAAAAGGTTCCCTACCCCTACTCTTTCTGATGCTCGTATGGCTCATGCCTCTCAATCTACCCGTACGCCTTGCCTGCACCAAAGGGTTCATTGAATTTAGAACCAATTCAGAGAGCCACATTGTTAAAGTGATCACATGGTAGTACATTTATGGGTCCAGCTGTGGCAGAACTACTTGAGGATTGGTCAGAATGTGGGGGAATTCAGTCATTGATGTGGATGAATAAGTGACAGCTTACCTGTACTGAATTTAAATTTATTAGCCATTACCCATTCCTCATTCCTGCTTCATTGGGGTCGTACGTGAACATCTGAAATGGTGCAATTCTCAAAGGAATGCCATATTTGTTTAGTGCATGCTTAGATTGGATCTGGAGAGACTTTTTCCTAACACAATTTCTCATCCATTTTAATCCCCCTACTCCAGTGCCCTAAACTTTATTTTAAGAAACATAGAAATCCATCCCTCAATTGGTTTCATAAGCACTGTAGGAGGAATAATAATTGCCAGACTAATCTGTTGTTTGTATTTGAACTGATGGATGATGCAACACTGATGCGTGTTTTCTTTTTGTATTCCCTGAAGAGAACAGAGCTCTGTTACCTGACACTATAAATAGACAGAGGTATATATTAGCTTAGATAGCTTTTTTAAAAAAACGGATTAGACAAATTCATGGAAGATAAATCCACCAAAGGCTTTTACTCATGATAGCTATGTGGACCTTCCATTTGGATGAAAGGGATCATGTAGACCCATATTAATCTGTTTTCAGGCCTGGTTATATTATGGAAACAGCTTTTATAGCTCAGTGGGGCAGACAGGGGAAATTTAATCCCATTGCTATCCCCGGACCTCTTAGCAGCATTTGAGACCTTCTATGCTTTTGCATGGTCTGGCCTTTGTAGCACCAGTTTGTTTCTGGATGAGGGTTTATTGGAATAGAGTGGGGGATTTTACCACTGCTGTGGTTGAATAATTGGATAAATTTGCTCAGGAGATGGGGGAATAAGATAAAAGGAAGATGGAAGGTCAAATGAAAGTAGAGAGGGAAAGTAACAAGCAAAGATTCCTAGCAGTGGAAGGAAACATATGAGGAATCTATTGAGTCCATTGCTGGATTAAGAGAGCTTGGAAATATGATAAGTCTCTATTAGGTTCTAATGGCTGGTCCTTAGAGTCAGAGAAGGAAAACCAAGGAGCTCAGACAGTATGGCTAGCTCTTAATAGCCTGGATGGTGTTGAGAAGGTCTCACCACTGGTCATGGAACTACGAGAGAATGGATGAGGAAGAACTGCTAGGCAACTCAGTGTTCTGAAATAGCTTTGAATATACATTGGAAGGACTCATTTCATGATTTTCATCCTATTTGGCAAAGGGAGACATCTCTTTTGCTTATATGGTTGCACATCCTTCAAAAGATTCATATTCTTTGCCTCGGCATCACTGTTCAATCTGCGATTACAGGCTTATTAATTAATTACAAATTAATAGCTCAAATTTCTCCAAGGAGCTAGCCAGATGTTCTGGCTTGAGGACAGAGATTTTATAGCGTCCCATGCTTCCCAAGTTTTATTCTACTTATATCACTACCACTGTCTCCAAGACTTTGGCCACAAGTGCCAGGTAGAGAAGTTGCTTTTAATCCTTGGTTTCCCATGAGGCTGACGATTTATGTAGTTTTTACTAACTCATTTGCCTCACATAAAAATGGCCCTTTAACTTGAACTGTGCAGTTATAATTAAACAGAAGAACAAGAGGAATCATTGCTCTTAAAACAAAGCTAGCTTGCAAAGGATTAGAGCCATGGGCTGTGGGACAAAGCCCATGTATTACCTAAGGTAGTTCTAAATTTTGTACTTGGCTTGTGGGTTTCTCAGAAAGCCAAGAAACTTAAGACTTCATGAGCTGGCAAAAAACCTAAAAATTGGCAGTCTTTCTTAGGTTGCTGGTGTACATGCTTGAAACTTGTACTTAAAAACCAGAAAGACGGATCATGTGTCTCAATGAGTCTTCCATCCAGCAACTTCTGAAACTCCAGAAGCCTAAGGACATCAGTTAAACTCAAAAGATGCAGAGGAACATTCTTGGTAGATGCAAGCACTCCTGTTAAATATGCTTTGTCCCATGGTACGTCACCCAGAATGCTTACATTTCTCTGAAATTGGTTATATTTATATGCTTAACAGCATAATCCTATGCATGCCTACCAAGAAGGAATTACCCCCAGGTGAGTTCAGTTGGACTTTCTCGTAGGTAAATGTGTGTATAGGATTGCAGCCTAAGTGTGTTCTTCAACCCAGTTTGAACCACTGAAAAGGTTTGTTCTCATGTTGCCACCCTTTGGACCTCCATGGAGGGGACTCAAGAAGAAGGTCAAGATGATGATTGCTGGCTCCACATTGGTTTATGTGAGAAGAAGTGGTCCCTGAAGTATTGAGGTCCTGAACAGCATAAGGCTTTGTAGATCAAAGCCAGTACTTTGAACTGAGCCTGGAAACTAATTTGTAGCTAGTACCTTCATGCCAGAATTGGTTTTGTACGTTCAGACCATCCTGCACTGGTCAGCAATCTGGCTGCTGAATTCTGCACCAGTTACAAAACGGACGTTTGGGTCAGTGATTTTGTGGCCAGATACCAAAACTGCTAAAGTTATCTTCCCTTTTATTCATGCATGCCTATTTATTATAAGCACTCCCATTGCATTCATTCATTTCATTTATAACCTGTCTTTTCTTCAAGGATTTCTAAGTGCTATATATGATCCCTCTCCTCTACATTTGACCCCCACAGCAACAGCCCTGTGAGGTAGATTAGGCTGAGACATAGTGACTAATCTGGCTCAATGGTCATTCATTGAGTTCTTTGTGGCTGAGAAGGGGATTCAAACTTGGGTCTCTTAGCTCTCATTCAGCACTTGAACTGCCATGCCACACTGGCCCTCATCTACACAAGGGGTGGACTCTTATTTAAAGCAGCCTTTCCACTCCTGTCAGCGTTCATCTTTAAGAACAACAATGTTCTTATTGTTAAATAAAAAAAGTTGTTTATTTAAAAAGGTAAAAAAAAAAATCAGCTTGGCTTTGAATGGGATTTCCTGCTTTAAGTACGAATTCTCACACACAGAGTAAAAACATGCGCAGGTAAGAAGGCTAACTATGTAGTCCTTCATGCTTAGCAACGATTGTGCCTGGTGTTATGGGATCGTTGGATGGAGCCAAGAATAAAAATTCTTCCTGTGTCTGGACACAATGCTCTCTGACTACATTCTTGCCTAGACTTTGCAGGTGCTTTACATAAGGCTTCATTCACCTGAAACATCCTGAGGCTGTCAGCTATGATGCTATTATATAACTCTGACAGGTCCACATTTGGAATATTATATGCCATTTGGTGGCCCATTTCTGGTTCCATTGAAAAGAGGTGGGAGACGTATAATAAATATAAATCAAGTCTCAACAAGGGCTCTTAGACAAAACTACTTGAGAGAATGGCTTGACGGACAGTGGTGCTAATGAGACAAAGAGGCAAGAACTGAGGATTAATCTTTTCATACTTCATTCAGTGCTCAAATGCCTTGACTTTTGTAGTGAGTTTGGAGGGCTATAATTCATACATTTAAAAAATACATTTAAAAGTAATCACTTTGATCATGCATCTTTATCTCACTAGACTATGGCAGGTTTTGTGGCTAGACACCAAAAAACACTGAAACTTAGCTTTAGGTACAGAAAGTTTACAAAGACTGCCTAATCTAATCTGTTTTCCATCACCACCTTTTCTCTCTCCCCCCCCCCCCGTCGCATACGTTTGCCATATTATGTAATTTGCCCACTCATTCATTCTAACTCTGGCAAAATGATTAACTTGACTTTGGTCTTCACACTGAAGAATAGTTAGCACCTTAATAGAGCTCTGCTCTTCCACTCAGAGCTCATGTTACAACTCAGGGTTCATTATTACTCTGTAAAGCACTATGGACATTAATGGTAGAATGCATGATCTAGCCAAAGTAATGCATTTTCAAGTCCCATTTATTTCAAGACGAGCGTATTTTTGCATCTCACCAATGGAAACCAATGGGATTTCAAAGTTTTAAGCTTTGGCTGGATTGTGACCTTAATGTGTAGGCTGTTACTTCTTGTTAATGATTTACTTGTTTTCCCTCATGTCATATTGACTTTAGGAAAGATTGTGGCAAGAAAATTATCTTACGTTCCTCTTGATCCTATTTAAAAGTCAGGTGTGAATAAGCCCTGTGTTTTTGAGATTTGTAGATCTGTCCAGTAGGAACAATCTGAAAATTCTCTATGGGAGAAACAGCAGCTAAGTGATAGCACACATGCATTGCATGCAGAAGGTCCCAGGCTTTTGCTTTGCCATCTCTAGATTTGTTTGTTTGTTTAAAAAAGAACCAGGTAGTTGGTGATGTGAAATATCGGAGACTTCCAGATTCTGCAGCTGGAATTGACAGTAGTTAACTAAATTTTAAATGCAGTACACCCATTAAAAGGACTGTAACTCCCTATTTGAACCTGCCTAGGTTTTGAGATCTTCAGGGAAGGACCTTCTCTCAGTCTCACCACTCTTAAGGAAATGTTTGGCAAGGAGAACCTGTGAGATTACCTCCTTGGTGGCTACTCCCAAGTTCTGGAACTTACTTCCATGGGAGACTAGATGGGCCATCCCTCTCCTTTCCTTTCACCGGCAGGCGAAAGCTTTTTTTGTTTGGACAGGTCTTTGGCCACTAACTTGCAGTTGTGATGATGAAGGATTCAAACCAGAGACTTCCTCCTAGTACAGTGGCTAAGATGGAATTTCCATAGGGAAGGGACTGTGGCTCAGCGGTAGAGAGTTGCTTTGTGTGCGGAGGGTTGCTGGTTCAATCTCTGGCATCTCCATCTATTAAAGGATCAGGTTGAAGAAGATGGAAAAGTCCTCCATTGCAGAGCTTTATTGCGGTCCATAAACCAAAAGTACATGGTACAATAGTATATATCAACAATTATTCAGGTGTAAGATCGGCCTTGCTAGCCAACAGAGGAGCTTTAGCTTGTACATACTGAATTTTGCTACAGCCAGTGTAATAGTATCAATCTTATCCTCAAGGAGACCCTTGATATGAGAAGAGTCAGCCATTCCAGGGTGCTCTGCTAATATTGAATTGATTAGGTGCTGTCTAACCTGTTTATACAGACTACAGTGTAACAAAATGTGCTTCATAGATTCAACATCCTGGGAACATGGGCATAGCCTATCTTGGTATGATTAGAAATCAGTGGGCCAGGTGGGCAAGTAGCCTGACTCAGCATAGGGCGGCTTCCTGTGTTCTTATGTATCATGCTACCCCACCTCTAGAAATGGTCAAAGAATGAGATTCTGATTACAGATTGATATTAAGAACATAAGAAGAGCCTGATGGATCAGGCTAATGGCCCACCTACTCCAGCATTCTGTTGTCACAGCAGCCAACTGGATACCTGTGAGAAGGCCACAAGCAGGACCTGAGCACAACAGCATTCTTCCTGCTCATGATTTCCAGAAACTGGTATTCAGAGACATAGGCAGAAGGTTGTCATCATGGCTAATAGCCACTGATAACTCCATGAGCCTTTCTAATCCCTTTTTGAAGTCCTTCAGAATGTAACCTGATTTGTTTCATAATTCCCATCTACCTTCTCTACAGGACTTGCCTTTGCTGTTCTCTCTTCAGTGCATCCGGTGTTTGGTTTATACGGATCTCTCTTCCCTGTTATTATTTATGCCATATTTGGAATGGGACGCCACGTTGCCACAGGTAAGTGCTTTTGGATCCTTGAGGACCAGTTCCGAGAACTTAACAGGTCTGTTGGCTGACTCTCTTAATTTTGCCTTCGAGGTTAGTGTTTTGTATAGCTCACAGTGTACGATGAATAAAAATTAAACAAGCTGTTCTTCCATGGAAGGGCAGAATGCAGAATTAGCTTCCATTTGCTTCTATGAAAATCAAAGAGTCCCCGAGGATCAATGCACAAAGCTTTGCAACTTTTCAGACTCCATTCATTTGTAGGAACCCCATGTAATTTCTGCGGAAGTAAATGGAATTTGGGTAACAGCATGGCTTGATGGGTTGTGCTCTCTGTGACACTCAAATTCGGCAGTAGTTTTGTGGACTTCAGTAGTTGGACTATTCTGAACTCTTGCAGCTTGGAGGAGATAGAAATCACCCTCCAGAAATGAATTTGGTATTTTTTTGGTGCATTTCTTTTACAACTACTTTTTTTCCTGTGTAATAAAACTATTTGGGGGTGGGGGAAGCATGATGAAGATCAATCTGGAACTGTATCTGCATCATTAATATTGCACCAACACTGTCTCCATAAGGACTCTCCACTTCGAGATCTGGCTGGTGCCTGCTAAAGGTCTGTGTCTTTCAGAAGGCCTTTGGATGCTAAGGTTTGGCCTTTGGCCTTTGAACGGATGGTGTAGTTTTAGTTAACTGTGTTGTATTGTTTTGTTTGTGTTCTCTTGTTTGTTTTATTGTTTCATTGCTGTAATCTGCCCTGGGGTCTTTTGATGAAGTGCAGGCTCTTAAGTTTCAAAAATAAACAAAATAAATACATTATACCATTATATATAATGCTCTATAAAATTTGCTCTAAGATGAAACTTTCACCTGGGAGAGCTCAGCCAAAGACAGTTTATTTGCTTATTTCCAGAAACAAAAAACAAGAGCTGCACAGTGTTCGCTTGCTTTGAAACCAGAAGAGATTGTTGTTATCGTTTGGCTGACTCATATCCAGATAATCTCTCTCTCTCTCTCTCTCTCTCTCTCTCTCTCTCTCTCTCTCTGTGTGTGTGTGTGTATGTGTCCCCTGCCTGGCTCTCTCTCATACACACATACACATACACATAATGGTCTTTTTATGTATGGATGTAAACACATAAATCCATATTATGTACAACAGAAGAATAGTTAAGCAAGAAAGGGCAATCCTGCATCAGACATTTTGCCATTCTTCTAGGCAGCTGCACTATATCATCCAAATCATTCATCCCTTACAAAGGACGCTGGAGCCCAACTCTCATACTAAGCAATTCCTGGCCGGGTTTTAGTCAGGATGGCGTCAGTGCGCATTCTACTGCCACACCTCAAGCACTTGATTCACTCCATCTACCTTGACACCAAATGTTCTTTTCAATTGTGACAGTGCTTTAAAAATAACAAGAGCTTACAGACAACAGCATCAATGTCTGTTAGCCAGGATAGCTATATTTCCTCCAGTATCTAAGGCTAAATGCTTTGAATGTGCAGGAAAACATTGACTCAAAGAGAGGAGAGCAGACTCCTGTGCTTACTGATGAATTTTTTTTTAAAAAAATTGCTCTATTGTTATTATTTAATTAGATGGTGAGCAAAATTTAAAATCTTCACTCTGTAAGCACCAGAGTCTACTCTCCTCTTTGTTTGACAGTACGTGTAGAATACAAGTTTGGGGGGGATCATGATCATGCTCCAGGGTGCCAGCTCCAGGGTGCTGAGTCCTTTTGGGGGCTGAGCCCTTTTGGGGGTGCCTACATTTTGGGGGTAAGGCTGGGCCCCCACCCCACAAGTCACGGAGGCAAAGTGCAGAACTGACCGTGGCACAACTCCAGTAGCCAGCTCTTTCCCCTCCTCCTTCTCCTGCTGCGGAGGTGATTGGATCTAGAAAGTCCAGCTTCCATCATCCCTAACTATTGGCCATTCTGGCTAGGGCTGATGGGAATCTGGGAACCCACCAGTTGCCCAGCCCAGTCTTAGGTAATTTTCAAGCTCATATGGGCATCCCAGTGATGCTTACTCAGAACCAAAGAAGGGGTCCGTTTAAGATATTAATTTGAGAACTGATCTCTCAGAATGAGAAGCAGGGTTTTTACAGAGAACATCTGGTCCCGGTTGCAGAAAACAATGGAGCTGGGTACGGGGGTCATGGCCTCCCTTTAGTTAATACGGGTTGGAAAGGATGGAGGAAGGGAAAGAGCTATGGGAGCCTTTCAGATATTGGGGAGGGGAAATTCTGAATTGCGTGGAACCACACACAAAGCTATCCCCTTGGGGTTTGAAAAGCCCAAGTATATGCACATTCCCTTTGGTTGTTATTATGCTTTCTAAGGAGCAATCATTGTCTTTTGAGTAATTGCGTGGTTTTTTGGAAATGGTCTGTGTGCCAAAATGTGCATTCAGTGCTACATTTAACAGCTCTGTAGCAGCCATGTGGTCTGCTGGGAAAGCAGCATTCCGTCCAAAGTACATAGAATTTGCATCAGGACGTATGCAAAGCCTATTGTCAAAGGCCCCTTGCAACTCACTGGCAAGTTGGATTTGCATCTTGTGGCAAGTTCCTTGGAAGCGATCATAACTCTTGAGTCAGCAAAGTAGACATTACGTAGTTACTTCATTTAAAGTGTAGTAATTGCCCAACAGGGACAAGCTGGACTATTGGTTTCTTCAGGCAAAGCATTTAGGACATCTGGTAATTTGAATAAATGTTGGATGCAGTTTGATATATTTAAAGGGTTTGGGATATCTGAGCAGCGTAATTGATGCACGTTCTGTGCTATTCATGTTGCTTTTAGATGAAACAAGATTTCCAGAATGAAGGCGTAGAGTGTTTGGTTAGAAAATTTTGATCAGTGGAGAAATTTGGCGTTCATTTTTTAAAAAAATGCTTTGTAGTTATTGTAAAGTATCTTCTTTCTATGATCAGTATTTGTAATCTTTTATAGATCTGGGTGAACTTATAGTTTTGAAACAATTCTATAATGCCTCCAATAATGCTATTAACGCCCCCCCCCCCCAAATATTTCTTATAACATTTACCTTAAAGAGAAGTATAAATGTTAAAGTACACCTTAGGATCCAAGACATACAATTTATATTTCCCTTAACTGTACAAGTTACTCCTTTGCTGCAGATCTCTCCATTGATTTGGTGGCTATCACAACATCCATTAACAACATTTCATATATATTTCACTCAAGCATTTATGTAAGGATCCCATGTACATGTAGCAGGATGACTCACATATATACACACAAAACAAGAGTTGAATAAACCACCTTTGTTTATCATTTCAATAACACACAAATGTAACTTTGATTGCTGCATGATGTTTGTGGTTGCTGTGGGAAGGGCCGCAGGAATGGACACAGAAGCCTGGTATTGGGTCAAATTAGGCCACAGCTTTATTGATTACAGGAAAGAGTATGTTTGGCTAAGGCATTGGGCATGTATCCCGCATCAGGCAGCTCACATGCTGCCTGATAAGAACTCAGTAGGGTCGACCCTGTGCTGGGGAGTCATCCCCCAACATGGATCGAGTGCCACAACCCTGCACAGCCTGCCATTGGGAGCGGTGTATTGGACCATCAGTCCCTATGTGGACTCCTGGACAATCTCATCCCTCCTGGACCCCTTTAACAGGGTATCCACACCACTCAGCATCCAGCCCAATGCCTTATCCACCAAAGCTGTGACAGTTGCTATGAGGTAGGTGAAAACTGGCAAGCCAGCTTGCAGGAGAAAATTCCTTCCTGGCCCTGAATATAGCAAGGTCCATACTCTAACTTGCCCACTCCCCCACTAGGCAGACCCCCAACAGACTGCATGGGTGGAAAATCCCACGGCGGTCAGCAAAGAGGGTGGCCTGCGCTTGGCAGCCCTCTTAAATACACCAGGAACAGGCAGGGCACAGCCCCCATGCCTCTGCCTCAACTGGCCTTGCGGGTAAGGCTCACCCTAACTGGAAGGTCCAGCATGACCAGAGGTGGGTGGCACCAGGTAGCCATCCCCCGCCCCGAATACACAGGAAGATGGTGGCCTCCCAGGACTAGCCGCTCTGCCCCAGATGAGCGAATAATAGAGAAATACATTTTCCTGGTAAGAGGTGATGCCTAAAATTGGTGTGTGCAGAAAACAACACATGGAGAACAGACATGTAGTTGGACTATCTGAATACAGAGCTGGGAAGGCAACTTTCAGCACATTTTAAGCACAATCATTTGGACACAACACACATAGGTTTGGATCCCAACTACGTTGTTCACAATTTAATCCCATTGAAAATCAATAATACTTCAGTTCGTCACGTGGGCATAGCCACAATTTTTGTTAGGGGGGCAGGCATTGGGGGTGGGGCAGAACCGCTGTGATTGTTCAGTTAGTTAAGTATTTCTATTGTTTTACTTGATCTAGGGTGGGCAACTGCCCCCCCCCGCCCCCCTTGGCTACGTCCATAGTTCATTATGACTAACTGGACTCATTGGTTTCTGCTTGAAATGTGACTTAGTCTTCACCCAGTCAACAGATTTCAATAGCACTTCCTTCGTTTTAAGCACAATGCAAAACAAACTGGAACTGTACCGATCAGAAACTAAACTCTCTCTCTTTTGCAGGAACCTTTGCGTTGACCTCCTTGATATCAGCTAATGCTGTCGAGCGTCTTGTTCCTCCCATGAGCAGCAACTTCACAGCAAACAATAACTCCACGGTTTTAGGATTATCTGAGTTTGAGATGCAGAGGATTGGAGTTGCTGCAGCAGTTTCATTATTAGGAGGACTCATTCAGGTAGGTATCCCTTAATAGCCAATACATATATAGAAAATCAGATTAGCAGTAAACCATAATGCATCCAGAGCCCCTAGAAGAAGCAAAACTGGATTGTGATGGAGCCATAGCATGGAGTCCTCCCATGTGCTCTGGAGTTTGATGTGGCCTAAGTAGCATGGAAGACACCTCACTGCTGTAGTGTTGATGCCACAAAAGCAAGATCAGAGGGAGCTGCCAGTTGTACACGATCTTTAAAAATGAAATATACATTTCATTACAGGCTGAGGTTTATGCAAAACATGATCAGTATTTCAGCTAAGCTGCTGCTTACTGAATATAAGGGAAAATGTTCCCTTTTATCCACCAGGGTTCCTGTCTGCTCCAAGAAATTAAAACTGGGAGCTAATTCTGCCAAATCAAGATGGGAGTCTGCTGAAAAATGAATGGCTTACCATGTGTTTAGGCCTACTTTCATGGGCCTGTGGATGGGTCAAATCACGTGTTATAGTCACTTCCATCAGGGGTGGCTAATGTGGCCCTCCAGATGTTCCTGGACTATAGTTCCCACCATCTCAGATCATTGGCCATGCTGGCTGGGGCTGATGGGAGTTGGAGTCCAGCAACTTCTGGAGGACCACAGGCTCCCCATCGTACATGATGAATCCTTGCAAAGAAGCCATTTGGGGGACAAAGGCGCACATGGCATAATAACATTGGAACTAGTCTTCAAGTGACCATTTCCCAGCACCCCTTCTCTTGCGTCTCCCAGCATCAAGTCATATGGCAAGAAGTTCCACTGTGACTGTTTTCAGCTTGCAGATGAAGTTGATCTGGGCCAGAGAGGACGCTGGAGTTTCATGTAGCACAGGCAAATGTTTCCTTATCCTTAAGAAAGCTGCTGGCAGGTTTGGTGCAAAGTTACATGACATCGCTTGCTCTGGCTTCAACATACCCGTCTAAGTTTACCTGCCGCTTTTCAGGTTAAACCAAGAAAGCTGGTTCCACCACTCTTTTAAATCTGATTATTAATGCACTTTAAGCGGAGTCCCAGGTATGTTCATGTTGGCACTCTCAGTTTACATAGCACAGCTGATATGCCCAACAGGCTGCATGCAAACTGAGAGCATGCCCTGGAACACCAGTGGCAACTAATTTTTAAAAGGGCCAAACTGAAGGTCCAGTGGCAATGGATAGGTGGAACCACCCTGTTCTGATTTGCAGAATTTTGGCAGAAAGCAGACTTTATTTTATCTATTGGAAACCTTTATCTCCTGCTTTTTCAGCTTGTAAGATCTTCAAAAGGACTTACAGTCTATAATAGCCATGGGGACTTGTGGCACTTTAAAGTGTAACACATTTATTAAGGTGTAAGCTTTTGTGGACTTCATAAGATGCAAGACATTACTCTCACTGGGCAGCTATACATCTATTTATAATAAGGGATAATAAAGAAAGGCCAAATGATTGGAGGCTGGTAGTGCAATACAGAAGAAAAGAACTTGAGGTAGCTGGGATTGGAGCAAACTTCATGCTACTGTAATACAAGTGAAAAATAATAGTAAGGAAAGATAAAATGTGATATCTTAATTTTTTCCCTATTATGCATGTATTCTTTATAAAGTATTTGTTTATGAGACGTACCTTTAACTGTTCAAAATTTATAAGGAGCCCGTAGATGGAATGATTGTATATGGTATTTTGTGCATAGGAATTACGTAAAACAATTTTTAAAAAAAGAAGAGGAGGGAACTGTAAACAAAATTCTTTACTGCGATCACATTTCAGTTAATGACTGCTTCTGTATTAGTGGGTAGATATCTAAGTGCTGCATGCAATTCCATATAATAATCATCATCATAATAATTTGCTTTTTTTGTATGTGGAAACATCCAAATTGAGGTGTTTGGTTTTTTTAAATCAGTATTTCTTTTGTTGTTTCAATGCCCAGTGGATACACTTATTTTGATTTATATTTTTAAATGACACCGGGCAAAACTCCCAAAGACAGATTTCCTTCTTGCCGTTTGGAATATGGCTGCTAATCGTAAAATAACCTCTCTAGCTTTTGCTTTGGCCAAAGTTTATGCGTGCTTTGTCAAGTGCTATCTTTTGGAGCATGTGCCAGACCAGTGTTCATTTTCATTGTAGACTGTTATTGTTATGGCAAATGGCTGAATCCACAAAACTGAAATTGAACTGAAATATGGCCTCTACTGAGAATCAGCAATTAAGTAGAGTATTCACAATTCCTTACCATCAGTCAGTTATTGCACTCAGGTACATTGCTGTAAATGTACCCTTATTATATGATGCTTATGTTACTGCATGCTTTGGGGTGTTTCTGTGGTGAGGTGCATGCCCTAGTTTTCTTGTCATTGTGGAAAGTGGATATTGGTGTACCCCAGACATTTAAGACCATAGTGTAGCCTCCTTCAACTTGGTTGTTGTTGTTTAGTCGTTTAGTTGTGTCCGACTCTTCGTGACCCCATGGATCAGAGCACGCCAGGCACTCCTGTCTTCCACTGCCTCCCCCAGTTTGGTCAAACTCATGCTGGTAGCTTCAACTTGGTGCCCCCCCTCAATGTTGGCCTACCACTAAAAACTATTTAAAACATATTAAAACAAATTACGGTCACTAGAAATATATATTTCAGGTGTCCAAGACCAGGGTGAAGATACGCATATGACAAAAGCTGTATAAAGAAGATGCCAGGCACAGCTGTGTAAGGAGGGAGTTTCACAACTTAAGGGCTGCCACAGAGAGTGCCCTTTCCTGGGCCACTACCCTCTGAATTTCTGAGGACAGTGGAACTACCAATATGGCTCCAGCTGCTGCCCTTAACACTCAAAGAGCACCTGTAGGGAAGAATGTGGGCTTTCAGTTATTTGAGACCTAAGTCCCTATTGCACATGTGTCTGTTTTATTACCTGTACACAGGAGAGAATTCATGATTCCTGGCATTTGCATGCGTGACAAAATAGAGTCATGGGCATGCATCCCATGCTTGATGAACTGCATGTTGGATTCTTGCAATTGATGTCCAAACGTTGTATTATGTGGTTGTGAGGAACCATGGCATATTCATTTGCCCCTGAGTTATGTTACAATCATGTAACTTTTTTTAAAAAAAATACTTTTCTATGCTGACTTTTGTAAACAGTCATATGCTTGAAAGATCTTGTTATTAGTTGCCAATGGACACTATCAGAAAGAAAACATCTTTTGTTCTCATTTAGCATGGCAACAAAAGCTAATCAGGCTATTCTATTGTAATCACTATTTATCTAATGGAGAGGTAAGGAATGCTTTTGAACCAACACACAATAGCTACTGAACTGTGGAAAATCTTGTATCTTTCCTCTTCAAAGCTTTGTTTTATTCGGTTTTTCAGCAGAGGCAGGATTTCATTTTTTAATATTCTTTTGTCATATTTTCTCCCCCTTCCCCCCAACCTCTTTTTTCTCCACCAGCTCTAGGCAAATCAAATGAAGGTGACAACCTGACCCTAACCTTCCCCTACCCAGCAGAATGTTCTATTATGAATTGGCTATATCAGGCATAGGCAAACTCGGCCCTCCAGATGTTTTGGGACAGTGGTCAGGGATGATGGGAGTTGTAGTCCCAAAACATCTGGAGGGCCGAGTTTGCCTATGACTGGGCTATATCTTTAGCATGTTTAGTTTTGTGTGATTTGTACCTTAAGTTGCTAGCGCACTCCATGCTTCAGTTCCTTGTGTTGTCTTCATTAGTTAGTGCTCCACTTTAGGCTTCTTTCCACAAAAGATAGTAAATAGGTAAATACAGTAGTACCTTGGGTTACATACGCTTCAGGTTACATACGCTTCAGGTTACAGACTCCACTAACCCAGAAATAGTACCTCGGGTTAAGGACTTTGCTTCAGGATAAGAACAAAAATCGTGCTCCGGCAGCATGGCAGCAGCAGGAGGCCCCATTGGCTAAAGTGGTGCTTCAGGTTAAGAACAGTTTCAGGTTAAGAACGGACCTCTGGAAGGAGTTAAGTACTTAACCCGAGGTACCACTGTAACCTTTTCTATGTTTAATTGCTAGCCTCCAACTCTGGACATTGTTCTGCCTTTCCACTACTTTGTTTTTTCCTTTAAGACCTCCACCCCCAACAAAATAATGAATTTGCCTACCAGTTCTTATTTGTTTGTTTGTTTGTTTGTTTGTTTTTAATCTGACATTGGAAAACTTCCTCTCCAAGGGCCAAACTATTTGGAATGCAGGAGATCAATGAAACCCTTGCAAAGTTCTTGTCTGACTTGCTTGGCAAAACATACAGGTATCATAAATGTCCCTAGTTTGGGCAAATGGCACAAGAAAACACCCACACACTAGTACTACATTCCTACTCTATTTCCAGAGGGATGGCCATGCTTGCCTGATGCAGCAAAATCAGACAAGTGTCTTGTGACTCCTTAAAGACTATGAAACATTATTATGGTATAAACATTAACTAGTAAAATTGATTCCTTCCGACTGATCCAATTGCATTCCTTTAAATATATTTAAAGGAACTTGCTGCTGGAAAGAGAGTTCTCATAATACAGACTGATGCAATTCTGTGCATCATTTAACACAGCCCAAATTGTCTCCAGCCAGATAACAGTAGTGTCCAAGATGTGACTTCTATCTTATCTCCTGACCCTCATTAAGTAGTGTCAATTTAAGAGCATATCTCAGGCCATTCAAAGACCAATGTTATTGAACAGGCTTGTCAAAGTGAGTGACGCCCTAGTAGAATATAGCATATTTTCGAATAATTAGCCCTGCCCTTTCCTTTTCAAGATGGCTCTTGGCCAGATATTCATCTTAACAAATCATTTCTATTTCACACTGCTGATGTTGGAAGGACATTGTGCGTTTCCCATGTCCATTTGTCCTTGGACTTGTTCCTTTTTATTTCACAATCTCTCGCTTTTTGTGGCTGTAGCCGTGCTAAAGTGGTTTCACCTTTGGCTACATATTGCTGTGAGATGCCTGCAGTTCAACAGAGTTAACCATGCTTAATTTCAAGGGGCTTTGGCAACTATTGTGTTGGATTGTGGCCAGTGGCTCCACTCTAGAGGGCTGATGAATATAATTATACTTTTGCGCGCACCCATTTATCATGTTATGGGATGTATCCCTCACTGCACTCTCCTTCGATAAGTGTGTCTCTATACAATCTATACTATACAATACTTGGATGATGGACTCAAGGGCATCCTGATCAAATTTGCAGATGACACCAAACTGGGAGGGGTGGCTAACACCCCAGAGGACAGGATCACACTTCAAAACGACCTTGACAGATTAGAGAACTGAGCAAAAACAAACAAGATGAATTTTAACAGGGAGAAATGTAAAGTATTGCACTTGGGCAAAAAAAAATGAGAGGCACAAATACAAGATGGGTGACACCTGGCTTGAGAACATGTGAAAAGGATCTAGGATCTAGGAGTCTTGGTTGACCACAAACTTGACATGAGCCAACAGTGTGATGCGGCAGCTAAAAAAGCCAATGCAATTCTGGGCTGCATCAATAGGAGTATAGCATCTAGATCTAGGGAAGTAATAGTGCCACTGTTTTCTGCTCTGGTCAGACCTCACCTGGAGTACTGTGTCCAGTCTGGGCACCACAGTTCAAGAAGGACACTGACAAACTGGAACGTGTCCAGAGGAGGGCAACCAAAATGGTCAAAGGCCTGGAAACGATGCCTTATGAGGAACGGCTAAGGGAGCTGGGCATGTTTAGCCTGGAGAAGAGGAGGTTAAGGGGTGATATGATAGCCATGTTCAAATATATAAAAGGATGTCACATAGAGGAGGGAGAAAGGTTGTTTTCTGCTGCTCCAGAGAAGCGGACACGGAGCAATGGATCCAAACTACAAGAAAGAAGATTCCATCTAAACATTAGGAAGAACTTCCTGACAGTAAGAGCTGTTCGACAGTGGAATTTGCTGCCAAGGAGTGTGGTGGAGTCTCCTTCTTTGGAGGTCTTTAAGCAGAGGCTTGACAACCATATGTCAGGAGTGCTCTGATGGTGTTTCCTGCTTGGCAGGGGGTTGGACTCGATGGCCCTTGTGGTCTCTTCCAACTCTATGATTCTATGATTCAATCCTGGCTAGGCTGTGGTCTTGCTGATTGCCCCACATATTCAGGGAAGCCATCGTGTGGAAGGTTGCTGCCTACCATTGCTACAATGGTATGTTAAAATCAACTGCAATAAAGACCAACTGTATCTAGTTATATGCATCTCCTTGATAAATATGGCATGCTTGTAAAGACAGAGGACTGTCACCTTCGGATCTCAAAATGCAGAATGAAATGTGCATGTCTTTATGTCCCTCTGTCTTCTTGGTCAAAGAGGGTCTATTTGTATACACATTTCATCCTGCATTTTGAGATCTACCTGCACTGTTTTCCCATTTGGAATATTCCTTCCGCTATTAGCTGGATTAGAGGATGGTTTCCAGTGTAGAAACTGTTTCTTGTGTAAACCGCTTCCATAGCTCCCCCATAGAGAATTACATGAGCCCACATGTCAGTCTCTGGAAGAAATATATGGGTTGCCTTTTTACATGTTACACACAGAAAATGAAAGCATAAGTGTATTAATCTATGCATTTGAAGCATTCAAATCAGCCCTAGTTTTAACATTTAAACTTTGATTATTTTTACAGTGATGAAAGTTATAGGCTGGGACTTGTAGTCAGTACAGGACACTGAAAATAGACACAAGTTTTGTTCCAGTCACTAGAATAGTGAAACTGTAACTGAAATAAGTAAAAGTAAGTCAGGAGCAACACTTTGTTTACGGTGCTGAATGACTTGGGATACAAAATGTTATCTAGATTGCAACGCAACAAGTAATTAACTGCAGGGCAAATTTAAGAACACAGAAATGTTTTTTAAAAGTCTTTGTCACAGTTAAAGAATGGCAAAATAATGCACGTTCAGCACAGTCAATGTAAGGCAAAAAGACTGGGCTAGTAAAAGCAAGTTTGTCTTTATTCAGCATACATTCTCTGAAGCTATTTGCAGCAGGATAGGTTGTTCAGGCTAATAGTTCAATAAAATTGAAAATCCAATTAGCCGTTATACTCTAAATAATAGACGTTGGAAGTGTTTATTCTTCAGGATATCCTGGCTGTGATCAGAAAACAGCATCAATGTCCCTACCATAAATTGCATAAATTGCACAAATTGTATCATCCTGGTGATGGTTTCAGTTAGGAATGCCTTTGAGAGTTGGTTTCTTGCCTTGGCCATTGAAGTAAACCAGTGACTGTGGCAAAGATATTTGTATGATTCAATGTCACAGTGTTCTTGAACTTCATTGTATTTTTTGGGAGTGCCAGCGGATTCATGTTTGCTCTCTGGTGCTGTCAGTATGTGAAGGGGGCACAGGTGTACCTACTAAGGAAATAGAAAACTGGAGAGGCCCAGTGGGTCAAGTTGAATCATACAAACCAGATGGTGGCTAGAAAACCGGTTCATGGTTTCCATAACAACACTCCACATCTCCTAGGAGGGCTTCTCTAGTTGGAGTTGCCATTCCCTCAGGAAAAGAGATGGCTGTTTCTTTGTAGACATGGTCAAAAAACAAACAAAGGAAAGGGTGGTTTTCATCTGTTTAGCTATTTTTCTTTTCTCAGGCAACACACTTTTATATGAATAGATGCCTTTCGCTCAAAGTTCCACTCAAAAACCTTGAGCCACTGACTGCATACTGCTGAGCCCTTCTGAAAAACCTGAGTTTTGCCCTCTGGTTCCATTATGGACCTGGTCTGAGCTCAACCCCCTGTCAAGGTAGCAACTTAACTTTATTTCACAAGGCCATTTTGGGAACATGGGTGTCAGTATCCTGCTTAGTTTCACACCATATGAGGTTGTTCCTTAGCAATGCCTACAGCCTAGTTATGACAAAACAGTAGATGAGACAGTAACCATGTTTCATTGCACCTGACTGCTTGTGAGGGTTTTCATTATGGAATACTCCCTGTGGGAACTGGCATGGTTACATCCAGAGAACAGGCATATCAGGAATGAGGCTTGGCTAGAACCCATATCCCTGATTTAGTTTCCTTTGTGCAGGGAGTTATATATCTGAAGGAGTATCCAGGATTCTGGAAGTTATTTGAAAGTGTCAACAAACAGATAGATATAGGTGATCTAGTTGACATTGTATGCATTGATTTTCTGAAAAGTTTTACAAAGTTTCTCACCAAAGACACCTGAGAAACATTAGCAGCTATGGAATAAGAGGAGAGTCACAGATTAAGAAGTGAGCAGGAGACAGTTTGCAGTGCACACTTCTTAAACCAACACAAACCAAGACACAGCTAGTCTTTGAATTTTGTGATACAGTTCTCAAACCAAATAATGGGTACAAAACTGCATGTAATAGGGGAAACAGAAGACTGTCCTCGGATAGCCGTCAAAGATTTTGGTGTCAGTACAAAGCTGAGGACATAACAACTTCATTTTGCTTGTTTAGTTCTGTCTGCTTAGGCCAGGCAGTGTACATCTCAAAGGAATACAAACGTGGTTGAGAGGCATAGCTCCTTCCACTTAAATCTGTGGGGCCTAAAATCCTGGCCATTTGTGACTTTAAATCTGTCAGACACTGTACAGAGAACGGTCTGAATGGAATGCTTTTTAAAAAGTAGCTTCAGCCAGGCTTTCGTGGCTTAATCCCCCCCCAAGCCCTGCAGAGCTTATTGTGCCTATATATTGGAGTAACTGAAAAACAACAACATTTGAGCCAATGCTTCAGAAAAGTCACCGTACTAAATACACATTGGCAGAGCCAGCTGTTATTATAGCTAATCTCAACCCAGAGCCTGGTAAACCAGTGATAGGAGAGAGATAACATATAATGAATATATAAAAGTGGACATGTGTTGAAAGTTTATTCATGGTATGCAATGCATAATTAAAAAAAAAACTTCACTGTTTGATTAGCTCATGGTGCTATCTTGTCCCTTTTATGTTAAAAGGGTGGGCGTATCTTTTCCTTACATTAGCCTTGGTACCCATATTCACATGTAATCGCTGTTAACATATCTTTGGTTTCTCAGGTAGCAATGTTTGTGCTCCACTTGGGCAGTGCCACCTTCTTGCTCACGGAGCCGGTGATAAGCGCAATGACGACGGGAGCAGCTACGCACGTCGTGACTTCACAAGTCAAGTACCTCTTGGGAATGAAAATGCCGTATATATCGGGACCCCTGGGATTCTTTTATGTAAGTTCATTCTTGAAAATTGGCTCTGCCGTGTTGCTCACAGTTTGCATTTTCGCTGGATATGCAGGCCCAGGCCTAGGCACTGCGGTGTCCTGGTGGGGTTTGGGTCGATGTATATCTAAATCCAACTTGTTCTGGATGCAGGTCATTCCCCTCAAAGGTACAGCAGGTACACAGTCTGGGGATCCTTATAAATCTGCTTTGCTATCATAGGCCCGAATGTCGCCTGTGGCACAAAGTGCCTTTCACCTGCTGAGACCCTTCCCGGATACAGTTAGCCTGTCCATGGGTTATCCTTGTTCTGATAACCTCCAGGCTAGACTGCTGCAATGCATTATATGTGGGGCTGCCTTTGGAGACTGCACGTAATGTACCTGCAGAGCTGCCAGAGACATCTTGCTAGTGCTTAAGGAGCTCCACTGGTCCCCAGTCCGTTTCCAAGCACAATTCAAAGTGCTGGTGCTTAGCTTACCTTTGAAACCTCAATGTGACTTGGGAGTTGAGTACCTAAGGCTACATCTACCCTCCATCAATCCATTTATGGCCTACTGGCATCTGAGATGAAGCCAGCAGTGATGAGAAAGAGGGCTTTTTGTTGTTGTGGTGCCTTGTTTGTGGAATTCATCCTCCTCAGGGATGCATGCCTGGTCCATATACTCATGTATTTTAGTGCTAAGCAAAGGTCTTTTTACTTTCCCAAGCTTTTAACATCTTCTGACACAGGCTGTGTACACAATCCCCTTGCATCCAGTGCATGCCCACCACTGGCTTGGGAAGTGGTGTACACATGATGTTAGCCACAGTTCATATCTGTCCTGAATTTATCCCGTTCTTCCTTAGCAGATACCCCATTTTGACGTGTTTTGGTTCCAATCAGCTTCAATCTGAACTGAGAAAATGAAGGACTTGTCTGCATTTAATGATACCCAGTGCTAGAATTGTTTAATGCTTTTTTTAAACTGTCTTTTAAAGTTAGTTTTTTATTGCTGTGTCTCAGTCTATAAATAAATGCATGCAATTACTGCATTTTAATCCTCAAAACAATATTGTGGGGTATGTTAGACTGAAATGCAGTTACTTTCCTACAATCTCTCATAGTCCAACTGCAACTCTGGCTCTGGAAACTCCATTGTTCTTCACTTTTCAGAACCAATCCAGTAGTATCTCCCTCTCTTTCTTGCCCTTTCCCATCTTTACTACCTGTGACTGACTGGAGTGGTGGGGCAAGTATATTGTGGTTATTCAGCAATTAATTCCCAACCTCCTTACACAACCAGTAATATAACTAGTGTGAAGTGCTGTTGTGGTGCACTTGATGTACTTTGACTGGTCCAGGGACAGAGAATCTGGAGAACAAGCTGTTCCCATATTAAACTACCCTCTAGTTATGATTTTCATCTACGGCCCTTCTCTGGGTGCTTCAACTTTTGGAAGTTAGGTGGGTAGCTGCTTGAAAGAGAGCCTTTCTTGTGGTGGCTATCGTATTGTCGAATTTTTCGGGCATCAGCATCAATAGCTTGGCTTCTAAAAGATAAAAGCCTTGTTTATCTAAAAGATAAGTTTGTCCAGTTTGCCTGGGGTTTTGACAGTAAGTTAAATTCTGTGGCCTATGGCAGGGTAAAAACATCTTAGTATAAAAATGTTGAGTTCAATGGCACTTATACCTAAGTAAGAATATACTGTATAGAATTGCAGCCTTAAAATGGTCTTCATTAGTACTCTGAAACAGATACATAGAAAGCATGATCTCAAGACCCAGTAATGTTTTACTAATACATTGTTCTCTCTTGATATTATTAATTGCATATTAACTTACTTCAGTGTACTGTAAACCTTTATCATCTGTAAACCATTCCTTCCATATAAATTACCAGGAAATAGGCAATGCCATCTGGTGGTTGATACTGATATTTAAATGCAGCAGCCAAGGGACCCTAGATTGCATGATATGCTAAAAATGATAGGTATGTATTGCCCCACTTTCCTTCATCTCTCTAACCCAGACTTGCCTGTATTCTAACATTTCTTGTGAGTGCTATTGGCTCCTAATACTTTCAGCCTCCTTGTTTTATGTCATCTGCTAATTTTCTATATTATAGAAAATCGAGAATCTATAGTGTGATGGGATGATGAGCTGCTTGTGCGTAAAATAGTATCCCCTCAGAGTTTGTTCAAGTCCACAAACCTCTGTCTGTGACGGAGCCCTTCAGACATGGCTCCTCTAGTCACTAGCAGTTTCCGACAGTGGTTGCTTTCGTAATCGCTTCCAACATAAAAGCTCCTTAACGGAAACACGTCTTCTGGACCCTCTGCGTGTCAGTTTCCGGCGAGGAGTGGGTGTCCCTACAGGAGGTCCTGAAACCTCCCCACTGTTTTCGCTGGAAGTGTCTCTGAGCCATCCCTCCAGCTCACTTTCCCTCCGCTCAGCTCCTCTCCCCCTACTGGTTCCCTCTTCAGCTGCTGAGTCTCTCCCAACCTGTGTGAGCCCTTTCACCTCCCTTCCGTCTTCAGCTGCTGAGTCTCTCCCAACCTGTGTGAGCCCTTTCACCTCCCTTCCGTCCGATGGCAGTTCCCTGACATCCACCTCCCCTCCAGGGCCCCCTTCACCCCCTCTCGCCCCCTCCTCTACGGGCGGTGAGGAGGCAAAACCCGGAATGAACTTCCTTCATCTTCCGATGTCTCGAACACTTCTCTCCACCTGTTGCGGTTCCTGGTCTCGAAGTACTCCTCCTCCTCAGAGTCCATCTCCCCTTCCCCTTCCGAGTCCGGGAAGCCTTCCAACTCCTCCTCCTCATCAGTGGTCCCAAAGTATTCCCTCCGGAACCTCTCCACAGGCTGAGGTTTCCTTGGGAACCTTTGATGGAACGTTTCTATCAATACCTCGTCATTGATATCTTCGGCCATTACCCAAGTGTTTTCTGACTCCGGTTCTCCTTCCCACACTACCAAATACTCCACCTGATTCCCCTTCCACCTGGCGTCGAGGATTTCTGCCACATGGCTGCTGCATTCTCTTTCTTCTATGACCGGTCCCCAGTGGCCATCCCTTCTCGTCCCCCTTCGTACGGTGACAGTAACGACCTGTGAAATACTGGGTGCAGTTTCATGTGGTTGGGTAACCGGAGCCTGAAAGCCACTGGGTTGACCTGTTGAATGACCTCAAAGGGACCCAACCTCCTGGGTCTTAATTTCTTACAACCTCCTTTGAACGGCAACCCTTGGGTTGACAGCCACACCCTATCTCCCACCCTTATGGTTTCACCTTCCCTTCGGTTCTTGTCTGCTTGCCTCTTGTATTCTTCCTTCGCCCTTTCTAAGTTGAGTTGGAGCTGACAATGGATTGCTTCCATTTCTTCTACAAAATGCTCGGCTGCCGGGACGCTCCATCTCTCCCCATCTCCCCCTGGGAAGCCCTGGGATGACACCCATAATTAGCCAAGAAGGGGCTCATCCCTGTGGACACATTCTCGGCATTGTTGTAGGCAAATTCCGCCAGCGCCAACTTTTCTACCCAGTCATTCTCTCTGTCATTGACATAACACCTCAGGTATTGCTGGAGGACACCGTTTGCTCTTTCCGCCTGCCCGTTGGTTTCAGGGTGCCGGGCAGTCGAAAAATTGACCTCCACCTGCAGTAAGCTCATGAGCTTCCTCCAGAACCTGGAAGTAAATTGTTTTCCTCGGTCTGAGACCACCCTCAATGGCACCCCGTGCAACCTAAAAATGTGTTCTACAAATAACTTCGCTGTCTCTTCCGCCGTGACTGCATGCGAGCAAGCTACAAAGTGGCACATCTTTGTTAGTAGGTCCACCACCACCATGATGGCTGTTTTCCCTTTGGACTTCGGCAGATCAGTCATAAAATCTATCGACACTGCCTCCCAAGGTCGTTCTGGGGTTGGTAAGGGTTCTAATAGCCCCGCCGGCGCCCGCCTTTCCCCTTTGGCTCGCTGGCATTGCTCGCACCCTCTTACATACTCACGTACATCTTCCCTCACCTTGGGCCACCAAAATTCCCTGGTGACCAACCACATGGTTTTGTGTTGTCCAAAATGCCCCGCCGTAGGGCTGTCGTGCAACTGCTTGAGTACCCTCCCCCTTAAGTCTCCTTCAGGGATATACAGTGCCCCTTTGTAATACAAAGCTCCATTTCTTTCCTCGAAACCCCCTGGTTCCTCTCCCTCACCCCTAAGACCTCTGAGCTTATTCTGGGCGTATTCATCATTCTCTGTTTCCTCTACCAGTTCTCTTTGTCCCACCAATGCCGCCCCACACACCCAGCGGTCCTCTGGAATGACATGTCTCTCTTCGGGTGCTCCCTTCCCCTCCAAATATTCAGGTTTGCGTGAGAGAGCGTCCGCCCTAATGTTCTCTGGGCCTGGCACGTAACAAATCTCAAAGTTAAATTTGGAGAACTCCTGGGCCCATCTCACTTGCCGTTGGTTGAGCACTCGTGCCGTCCTCCAATACTCTAGGTTCTTGTGGTCAGTGCACACTTGCACCTTATGTTGTGCGCCAATTAGCAGGTGCCTCCATCTCCGGAACGCCTCATGAATGGCTAGTAGTTCTCGGTCATACACCGTGTAGTTCCTCTCGGATTTGTTCAGCTTTCGCGAAAAAAGGCACACGGTCTCCACTCTGACTCCTCCTTGCCTGGCTGCAGAAGCACCGCCCCAATCGCTCTGTCTGATGCGTCAGTTTCCACTCTCATCGGTTTTTGTAAATCCACATGCAGGAGTTGTTGTTCCGAGGCGAAGGCCCTTTTAGTTCCTCAAATGCTCGCTCCGCCTCCTCAGTCCAAACGAACTTCTTCTTACTGCTGAGACAGTCCGTAATGGGCGCCGTCAGGTGGGCAAAGTTTCTGATGAACTTACGATAGAAGTTCCCAAATCCTAGGAACCTCTGCACATCCTTCCTTGTTTTGGGTGTTTTCCATTCCAGCACCGCCTGGACCTTGCCGGGATCCATGGCCAATCCCTTGTCTGACAGGCGATACCCCAGGAATTCCACCTCCTTGGTATGAAACTGACACTTCTCCAGTTTCACCCACAGCTGGTTGGCTTGCAGCCTGCTCAACACTTCTCTGACGTCTCTCACATGCTGCTCCTCATTCTCAGAATACACCAACACGTCGTCTAAAAAGGCCACACAATTCTTGTAAAGCAAAGGCCCCAGGACGTGGTTCATAAACGATTGAAAGGTTGCGGAGCCTGCTTGTAGGCCGAAGGGCATAACCAAATATTCAAATGCCCCTAAAGGGGTGAACATGGTGGTTTTCCATTCATCCCCCTTCCTTATTCGTACCAGGTTGTACGCCCCCCTTAGGTCCAGCTTTGTGAAAATCTTTCCCTTCCGCACCCTTGTCAAAATGTCGTCAATCCTGGGCATAGGGAAGGCCACTGGTTCTGACACTGCATTTAAGGCCCTGAAGTCACACACCAGCCTCGGCTTGTTCGTGTTTTTATCCACAAAAACACTGGGCTGCCCCCACCGCCCTGGACTCTCTGATGAACCCTCTCTTCAGGTTCTTGTCAATGAACTCTCTTAGCTCCTGCATCTCTCTGTCTGACATGGCGTACAGCTTGCCTACAGGGAGCTGTGCCCCAGGGAGTAAATTGATTTGACAGTCAAAGGGTCTATGCGGGGGTAGTTGGTCAGCTTCCCTTTCGCTGAAGACGTCACGGAGATCTGCATATTGTCGTGGTACCTTCACGTTCTCCGTTACTTCAGTCCCTGCTAGGGTGGCTTGGGCCCCTGCCAAACCCTTTCCCTCTTTGCAGTGTTCTAAGCAATGTGCTGAACCAAAAGAAACCACTCTCTGATGCCAGCCCACCAGCGGATCATGTAACGCTAGCCAGCTCATCCCCAATATAATGGGAGCTCCTCCCAAGGTGGCCACATTAAAAGCTATCAGTTCGGTGTGCCTTGCTACCTTCATTATCATTGGGACGGTCTGCAAGCTGACTTCTCCTCCCAACAGCTCCCTGCCATCGATCGTGGTCCCCTCGAGGGGTGTGCTTAAAGGGATCGTCTGTATCTGGTGTTCAGCTGCAAACTCTTTGCTCATGAAATTGCAGGAGCTGCCTGAGTCCAACAGCGCCTTTATCTTTAGAGGGTGTCCGTTTGGCAGCTCTAGCGTCACTTCTATCACTAGGGCGGGTTTAGGAGGTTCTGGCGTGGGCACTCTCACTGCTCTTTGGCCTGGCTGCTGTGCCCCGACAGTGGCAGCCAGGCGTTGGCTTTACTTGCTCCGGTATTTCTTCCTCTCTTCCCTCCACAGCTCCTACCATCCCTTGCCATTCCTTCCTCTGGGGGCAGACTCTGGCAAAGTGACCTGGCTGTTGGCAGAGATAGCATTTCCGGGCGCCTTTTCCCTCCTTCTTTCCCCCTCACTGGGCTTTGAAACTGCGCGCGCGCGCTGCTGTTCCGATTTCCATCGGCTCTGCCGGCGGGAAAGTTGGCTCTGGAATGTCTGGAATGCGGAACTCCTTCCAACGTTCCCCTTTCCCTTCCCGCCTCTCCAATGCTCTCGCCTCCTGGCGCGCTCCTATGGTCAGCGCTGATTTGGTCAGCTGGTCCATAGACTCCGCCCTGGGCGCCCGGGAAAGTTCGTCTTTCACAGCCGAAGAAAGCCCTTCTTCAAAGAGCATTTGAATGGGTTCCGCCGATAAGTCCCACCCCAATCTGTGAACCAGCATGGTGAACTCAGTCCAGTACTCACGGACAGATCGGCTCCCCTGTTTGCAAGCCATTAACTGTCTGCGCACCACTCCCTGTTCAATATCGCTGGAAAACATCAGATCCATGGCGCGAAAGAACTTCATCGTGTCCTTTAGGACGTCACTATTCGCTGCCATCAGGGGTCTAACCCAGTCTTTCGCCCCCTTTTCAAGATGCCCAATCACGAAAGCCACTCGTGATTCCTCGTCAGGGATTCATCAAACTGCAGATTGAGGGCATATTGCATCTCTGTCCGAAAGCCATGATAGTCTTTGGGCTCCCCCCCAAACTTCTGCACCAATCCTGGTACCTTTCTGGCGAGCTGGGTGGCTTTCCCCCTTTTGTCTGCATCCTGAGCCCTCCTCTCCTCAAGCCTCGCCGTCTGCAGCGCTAGCTGGACCTCCAACACCCGGTACCTTTCTTCCAGGCTTGGACCCGCTCCAGCTCCTGCTTCTCCGGTTCCGGCTGGGTTGCTCATGATGCCTTCTCCTGCACAAGCTGCTTTCAAAGACTGTCGGAATGCTGTGATGGGATGATGAGCTGCTTGTGCGTAAAATAGTATCCCCTCAGAGTTTGTTCAAGTCCACAAACCTCTGTCTGTGACGGAGCCCTTCAGACATGGCTCCTCTAGTCACTAGCAGATTCCGACAGTGGTTGCTTTCGTAATCGCTTCCAACATAAAAGCTCCTTAACGGAAACACGTCTTCTGGACCCTCTGCGTGTCAGTTTCCGGCGAGGAGTGGGTGTCCCTACAGGAGGTCCTGAAACCTCCCCACTGTTTTCGCTGGAAGTGTCTCTGAGCCATCCCTCCAGCTCACTTTCCCTCCGCTCAGCTCCTCTCCCCTACTGGTTCCCTCTTCAGCTGCTGAGTCTCTCCCAACCTGTGTGAGCCCTTTCACCTCCCTTCCGTCTTCAGCTGCTGAGTCTCTCCCAACCTGTGTGAGCCCTTTCACCTCCCTTCCGTCCGATGGCAGTTCCCTGACATATAGCAATCGACCCAAGCTCTCTATTTGACAGCAGCTCCTCTCTTCTTTTCCTTCTTCTTCAAACTTATGCTATTTGCTAGAATGGGTGCAGATAGATAGTGATTTTTCCACATTCATCCAATGGTTTTAATATACTTTACATTCGGGGAGTCATTTCCACATTACCGTATCCACCAGGTTACACGGGAATATTCTGTGTTGCACACACGGTTTGCATGCAACACCATCTTAAGCCTCACCTGAACCAAGAATGTGACCAATAGCACATCCAACATTGCAGGAGAAAATGAGTAGTGATGGACAAGCTATAATTTGGAGAAGCAAAGCACCATTACTGATGTTCTCGCTGAGGAACCCCAGCAAGTTTTTCAGAATGCAATTTGCAAACCGCTGCATCCTAGTTGATTCTTTTTTAAGTTTGCAAAAGGATTCAAAAACAGTCAATGCACCTTGCATTTTCCCTCCAAACATAACCTTTAAAAACCACACTGACATATTACGGAGCATTATATTTGACATCTTTGTTTAAAATGGTTGTTTAATTTTTATTAGAGAAGATCCCTCCCTCTTAAAGGGGCTGTTTAAAAACTAGACAAAAATTCCATGTGCATGTCTCCACACATGGGTTGCTTTGGAGAGGGGCCAGTGTCACCATGCAATAACTTTGATAATTTGTGTTGCCATGGTAGTAGTTTTATATGAAAAAATAGAATTAAGTAATTGTGCGCTGCTCAGCAGGCACAACTGCACTGCAAAAGGCAAATTTGGCAGCTACTTCATTGGTCTGTTTTGTTTTTTTCTTTTAAAACATTTACCTTTATAAGTTTAGCCTGTTGCTTAATTCTTCCTGGTTTTATATTCTTTTTCACAACCTCAACTTACTCAATTCTCTCTCTTTTTGGCTTGGACACCCAGGGCAGGGGTGAGCGGAGCAATGCAGGAGTCCAGTCTGCTAATAAAGTGGAGTAGGAGAGTCATAAGGAAACAAGCCAATGAAACATTTTCTTTTATAGAATGAGATCATAATTCAGTATGAGCAAATGAGAGAACCAACCTACTTTGAGGATCCCATGAGATATATAATTATCACAAAAGCGTTACAGCTCGCAATTTATATGAAGCCAGAGTTTTGTCCAATCAAAGTTTCCCTAAATATAAGACTTGTTATAAATGCTCAGTGTGGTTGCCACCTCTTCTGTGGTTGCTTCCACATGGGTAGAGAGCCACGCAAAAGGTTCTGCTCCTGCGGCTCCTCTAATCACACATTTAGCCTGCTGTACAAGTAATGCATCTTCCAGGGCATCATATGCCACATTAACTGTTGGATGAAACTGGGAGAAGATAAGAAGCTGCCACATGGCAAGTCTGTGCTGATTGACAGCATCTCTCCAGGAATTTCAGACAGAAATATTTCCTAGTCTTCCTTGTAGTTGCCAGGAACTAAAACAAAGACCTTCCTCAAGCAACGCATGTGCTCTTCCACTGAAGTATGACCCTCTCACTAGTTAAGGTACTTCATAAGTTAGCAGAAAGGAGCAGTATGTAGGCTGGGAGAACCCACACAACACCACCGGACCAAGACAATTTTCTGTCTGAGGGCAAGACCAGCTGCACTTCATGCACAAGGGCCAACTTGACTAGCAGTTGACACTTACTTCAACATTGAGAATACAACTGTTTCCTTCCAAACATCTAAGGGCAATAAAGAGTTCTTCAACAGAGGGGAACAGGAAGAGCAGCTGGGGGCTACCACTATTGCCCTGTCCCCACAAATCTGCCACCCTCACTCATCCTGATGGTATGGCTTGTTAGAATTCCTGCTCCATGATTGCAGTCATGGGATTGTTATCTGTCACATGATGATGTATGTTTTGACTCCACAGAGTGGGAAGTGACGGAGACAGGATGTTTGTGTTACTGTGTTTCGTGAAGTGGGACTATTGTCCTTTGTTTTTTCTCTTTGCTGTCTGATGCTAGAAAGAGAGGGAGCCATGTTGCAGTGCTCCGTGTGTGTTTATATGTAAATAAAGTAGATTAGCCAAAATGCTGAGTTGCTAAATTCTGTTACACAAACTGCGAACACTCTGCGGATCCCTAAGTGTGCCGACGCCTGTTGGCATCGGTTGCTGTGATGTTCGGGCTGAAGGAAGCTTTTGAAGCTCCCGAACGAATGACCAGGAGGGAGAGAACATGCCAGTCGGGCATGTGTCTGTGTGTCTGCCAGGGTCCTACTTGAGAGTAGGACAAGCTCCTGACATGGCTATCTCCTCTCCACTAACTCTGCCTTCAGTATTGTTTTTTTTTTTTAAAAATTTTTTTGGCATTATTAACAATGTCAATTATTACTTGGAATTTTGTAGTAGATGTGTGATCTCAGATAGGGAATTCCTGCTGGGCTACTGCTTAGCTCCCCATTATGAGATGGGCCTGAAGTGATAACTATGTGAGGATGGAAGGAAAGGGGGGGGGGAGTTCTGTATCTTTCACGGTGGTGTAGAATTGGGATTTTGGCAGCTTTAGCATTTTTCACCCTAGCACAATCAATTGTGCCTGGTAAAATACTTGCTCTTTTGTACAACTATTACTTTTCAGGGACTCCTCCCCCAACTCCCTTGTACAACTTGCAATAAGGAAACAAACAGTCTGAAGATCCCAAATTCATTAGTTGACTTGGTATATGACAGCCTCTTAGATTGCTTCCTCTACCATCCATGTACATAGAGAGGGATCTTGGTGCTGCAGAGTTACAAGATGGCTAGTTTCTTCTCCCATCCCCATTTCTCCCCGCCCCCGTGCATGCCCCCCATCTCATTTAGCTCACTTCCTCCACTCCATTAAAGTTTGGAGCTTGTATTCCTTGATGAAGTGCAGCATATTCCCACAATAGCCTTGTGTGCTGAGTGCCCATGTATATATAGGGCTCTGTTATTCCTTCTGGCGATCCCTTCGTGTGTTGGTGTTTCACCCACACATGGAAGGATCATGCCACATGTATTTTTCAACCTGGCTACCTCAAACTGTACTCAGCTCCCTGCATACCCTTGAAGAATGCAGCAAATAGAGTATTAAAAATAAACCCTCCGGCTTCCAAACCTACTTTTCAGAACAAGGGGTGGCAAGATGCCACCTGAGGGTTGGAATGCCATGTGGTAAGTTTTCTGAAAGAGAGAAAATAAGAAAGCAAAACTAAATGTTCTTGTTTAGAATCTGGGTCTCTTAATTTTTATGAACAAGTTTCCTAACCAAATGGTCCAGGTATTAGATTTGAATTGTTTTTGTAAAGCAACTTTATTCCCAGTTTGTGTTGCATTTGGCAGCCAATTGCTGGAGAGAAGCAGTTTTCAGCAGTTTAATAGAGACTTCTTGCCTGTAAAATTGGATTGATCCTAGAGCATACTCTAGTATTTTGACTAATTTGTGTATTTTAATAGCTGTGCCTGTTTGGAACTCTAGCCTTAATGGTTTACCTTTACAGTTATATTTGCTGACATATTAACTTACTGATGTATCAGCACGCCTGTCCTTTGCACCATTGCATTATATGGCTGCAATCTGGCAATCCAATGTACTTTCTCAAGTTTATATGTCAGTAGTGGATGGGAGTCCCGTTTTCTGCCCGAGAGTGTTCTTTCTGTGCCACCCCTGTTTTATCACCAAAGAGGATGCAGCTTGCGAAGAGTTCCATGGCATCAGAGAACCTCATGGGTGCCATGGAGTCGCTGGATGAAGGTGCATGTCTTTTGGGAAAACTTTAATCAGAAAATTGTATTCACGTTTTCCAATAAATCTTGGTAAATTGAGGTTCTTTAAATGTATGTTCTATCTCAAAAGTGCATCAGAGGTTTTTGGGCAGCCTTTCACTTAGATGTGCAGATAATGACCAGGCAATGAACTTGTGTCACCCAATATTTTTTTATACTCCTGTAAATGAAAGTTGATTAAGGGCTCATGAGAATTGGCCATTTGGCTACTGTGATACTCTTGAAACCTTAAAATAAAATGATTCAAACGCACTCTTATGTGAGAACTGTTTGGAAACTGAAATTGGTTTAAGAATGTGAGACTTGGCCTCTCCCAACCCTACTTTGCCCTTATAATCTCTTCATCCAACCCCAGTAAACCCTACTGGAGAGGTCCCATGGGGAGAAGTTGATGGGGCTCACTCCAAGGGCAGATTCCACCCCACATGCACTCCTCACCTCAATCCCCAAATTTCCCCCTGTAGCCTCTTTACATCCCCCCCGAGGGACTGAGTGCAGCAGCTCTGATCCACGAGATCCCAGACGAGGGTAGTGTGCTTGAAGAGAGGCTGGGGATGGAGAAGAGTGCTTGGGAGGGGAGCAGTCTACTCCAGCTTGGATCAAAATCTGAATTAGGGAAGAGTTTTTGAGGTTGGTTTTATTGAGCCCCTGAAATTTCTTTCAGAGCCTGCACCTTTAATGCATGGTATGCTAGATTAAGTGATTGAGTTGGTAATTCCTAGTGTTCATTGTCTGATAAACATCTACTAAAATGCAAGACTATTACTATTATAGCAGTGCATATTATAGCCATTCTTTCCTATCTATCTAATCCCATTGGTCCTTCTAGAGATATGGAATGTAACATTTATCAGTTCCATAGAGTTCTGAGTACAGTTCGGGAGAACTTCTTGGACTGTGCCTTGGTAGTAGATTTGCCACAGCCAGTTAAGCCAGTAATAAACTGGCAGTGAAGTGAAAAGTATATCTCAGAAAAAGTACTATGTAGCATGAATATTTGGTGGTACAAATACTGTTCCACCATGCTGACCCAACATCTAGAGGACACAAGGTTCTACTAGGCCCAGAGATGTACCTGAGCTCCCTTGCGCCCTTGGCAAAGAGATGTGGCTAGCCAGAGCAACAGGAGAACATCCCAGGGAGCCTGCCGATGGGCAGGTGAGCTTCAAGCCACCTGGAACCATAGTGGAGAGGTACAATTTTTGTGTCTCCCTTGGCCTTTGCCCTTGGCAGGGGCCAACCTGGCCAATCCCTGGGTACGCCCCTGACTAGGCCCTTCAGACACGTAGTTTGGTCTCCATGTGTGTTGCTGTGGGAAAACAAGTAGCACACCACAGCAAAATGGGTCATGGTAATCCATGGCTAACAAAAGCAATGGCAAACTGGGTAGTGATGATCCACAAAAATGACTGTCTGCGAGTTCCCGAATCAATTCCTGTTATTTCAGAATGCCTTCATAAAGCCTTAACAGCATAGTGTATCAGAATGGGTTGGCAAAGGCAGCCTATATTCAACAAAAGACAGATGTTTGAAATAAAACTTGCAAGTCTTTGTGTATGTCATATTTAAATAGTTGATGGTGGGATTTAGTCCAGCTCTTCATTTTGCTTGCTGGCTGCTCTTTGGATCTGGCTTTGGGAAGCTTCTGAGCCTGTGCTGATGACTGTGCTGACATTCGGACATGGCATTCCAAGTTTCTGTCTTTTGTCCTAGTCAGTCTCGGCTCCTGGTGGGGCACTGAGCCAAAGCCACATGCTGTCTTCAACACACATTTCTGGATAGGCATGGCTTTCTAGTTGCCAAATCCCAAGCCCTCTAGTATAACATCTTCATTGTTTGATTATATAAGGACAGCATGTGGGTCAAGGTTGTGGTTTCATTGCCCATCCTTCCAAATGTCTGACTCATGTACAAAATGTGTCCCCCCCCCCCCAATCTTAGACCAAGCATGGAAAAGCTGCATCCCTGTTTTGGTGACAAATGTCCGCCAGTGAAATAATCTAGACTAGGTCATGATGACCTTAGTTGTGGCATTGTGGCTTTCCAGGACAGTGGGATCATAGCTTGCTCTGTAACTTTTTGCATGTACATAGTCAACATTTTTTGTTACCATTCTGTGTAAGAAAACAGCAGATATAAATGTCCTGATGGTGACTTTTGAGTTCAGAAAAGAACTAGTTTATATTCTCCTGGAATATAAATGAAATATATATAATGGAAGCAGCTCTTGCGTTTGCTGAAAGGCATGTCTAGATACAATCCACTGTATTCAGTAATAAGTTCCAAAACTGTGGACCTGCTTCTTTGAGCACTTACACCCTTGATATTCAACTGACCTTCTGATTTTCTTTCCACTATAGATTTATGCCTACATCTTTGAAAACATCAAGTCCATTCAGTTGGAAGCTTTGCTGCTCTCTGTGCTGAGCATTGTGATTCTCGTTCTTGTTAAAGAACTGAACGAAAAGTTTAAAGGGAAAATCAAGGTGGTTCTTCCTATTGATTTGGTTTTGGTAAGTATAAACACAAGCACTGTTTTGCACTTCTCAATCTGCTGCAGCCGGTGGTGCTCATTGTTAATGCAATGCAGGGAAAATATTTATGGTTTTGCCATTTAGATAATGGTGTGACCAGTTTAGATAAATTCAGGTGTACTGTTTCTCGGAAAAGTTTGATAGAAGTATAATATTAAATAAATACCGCACAAAGGAAAATGGCAACTGACTGGCTTCAGTTGTGAGGTTTAAAAACATTGTTTGGGCTCGTTAATTGTAGTCATGCAACCTTCTGGTGTCTCAGCTATGATGTTTAGTTTTTGTAATGCCCAGCTGTTTTTCAAAATGGTGTTGTAATGAGGTATATTGGCCTACTGTCTTTATAGTAAAGAATTCTGGGATTGTGCTTTGTAACTTCATACTGTGGCTCTGATGCAAAGAAGCCTTACAGGTGTGGGAGCTTGATTCAAGATCTCAACCCCCCCCAAACCCCTCCATTAATCTCAATGGATGAGGCCTCATTAGCACACCTTAATGTGAGCTGATTGGGTATTTCTGTATTAATAGGGTCTGCTTATAGATACATAAATGCCTTGTGTGCATAGGAGTACACATTTAGGACTCTGAATCTAGATGTGTACATGTGCCAGCTGAAAACATATAGGGCAGGGGTGAGGAACCCCCGGTCTGGGGGCCAAGTTGGGCACTCCAGGCCTCTCTATCTGCCCTTGGAGTTCTCCCCAGGCCACACCTTACTGGCCCTGCTTTGCACCCCAAATGCCGTTGCCCGACTGAAATGTGTCCTTGGATGCTGATAATCTTCTTACTTATCTGGATGGAGGATAGAGAGGTATGTTTGAAGGGTGCTCCTCACCTTCATTTCAATATACCTGAGATGTGTGGGAACACACGCTCTCTTAATGTAGGGAAATTGCATCCCCTTCCTTTTCAATACACTCCATGCTTCTCAACTGTTAATTCAATGTAATAACCGTAGATAAAATGAGGGTGTGTAGAAGAGCCAATATTCACATAGCTTCTGTATAGCTATATGCTATCATGTAAACCCAACTATACGTGAACATAGGCAATCCCCATCTGAGAAGAAGCTGACCCAATGGTCTCATCTCTGTAACTTAACAATATTGCTTCTATTCCATTGGTTCCAGTCATATTGTTCTCTGAAGAAGTGAGCCCAGTGCCAAAAGAAACATAAAGATTTCTTTAAAAAGTGTGAAATGTTTATTGCCTTCCTCCTCTAAGTCTTTGTTGTTGCTTGACCAATAGATAGTTGCTACCTCTGCTGCCTGCTACTATGCTGATATGAAGCACAGCTATGGCATGGAAGTTGTGGGACATATTCCAGAAGGGTAACGTGTTCTTTATATGCTTGTATGTATTGATACATAAATATGTATATTCGGTATGTTTTGCATTTTTGCATTTTAAAATCATTATTTGCATACCCTCATCCCGTGCAATAAAATGGTCAGCAGCTGAAAAATGAAAATGAAACCATGAATTCTGCCTTAATAAGGATGATAAGAACAGAGTTGATTTTCAGAAGGCTGATTTACTGAATAGGGAACCTATGTAGAACCAGACATCAGATACTGGGGATCTGTGGGTCGTATCCAACGAAGCACCAAGTTAAAATCGTTTAGCACTATATTCTTGTTCTGCTGGTGAAATGTTTTGCACCAGCGGAATGTAGCTGCATAAGATAATGCACAAGCAGGTTGCTGGTAACTTTTTTGCACAACAGGTTATGGAATCTGTTGCACAACAAGCTTCTGCTAGCGCAACTGTTATATTGGAGTCCTGTGTTGCACAACATTAAACTCATCCACTTGCTAGCAGACTGAGAACACTGTGTAGGTAATGTAGGTCCAGTTCTTCTGATGAATATGAATGCTGCTTTATTTTGTAGAATAAGAACCACAAGTCCTTTGCTGTCTGATTCTGTCCCCTATTTCTTTCTAAAGCTGCTACTGAAGACTAAATTGACACATCTATTTTTATGTTGACTGGTTTTTACAAACTGAATGTCCAGCCTCTTTTTATGCCTGGGCTTGTGGGACTACATGTAGTCATTTTTCAGATGATCGAAATCCGGAAATACTAAACTTGTGGATTTAAAGAGGGAAAGGGTGTCTGTGGTCCTAGCAGCAACCTCCATAGGCAGCCACACCTTTGAAATCAGAGGTTAAGTATTCAAGTTGTATGAACTTAAGCTCTCACCATGTGATTTGGGGATCCTACCAAGGAGGCAACCTATACACATACAATTTGCATATGCATATCTGTTCACAAACAAATTGGCCAGTGCGGAGGTCCAGAATAGTGGCCATGATGCCTCCTCCTGCTCACATATTTGAGATTTTTGCTAACCCTCTGAATAAGGGCTACAGCTGGTTGGCATCAGTGCTTGTTTTCCAAGGGTACTCAAGGGCACGCAGCACTGGCACCATTTTTTCTAGAATAAAAGCACTGGTTAAAAGTGTGACACTTACTGAAACAACTTCATGGCGAGTAAAGGCACCTTTCCCCCCCTGGAGGAAATGCACTGATTGTATTTATGTGAAATGTAGAGATATTGAGAAGAAGCTTTGATAAGCTATCTGAGGCAAAGACCTTCAATATGTATCATTTCAGTACATCAGTGCAGCTTTGTTAAATAACAGCAAGCCAGACAGCACATTTTGGTATTTGGTAGACTTTGTAGCACTGAAGAATGCAAATCCTTCCTAAAAATGACCCTTCTCAAACTAAACTTAAAATTGAAAAGCTGGAATAGACTGTGATTTTGTGGCTATAAAATGAGGAAATTCCATCAGAACTGAGATTTCTGTGCCTACCTTGAATTAATGGGAACTTTTCAGTTCACAGTTTTGATTTGATACTGGCACATTTGCCTTCTAATGCATAACACCCTCCACCACATAGGATTGTCCTTACTTTTACAGCATACCACTGCCAAGGTCTCCACCCATGAATATCCTCCCTGAAGTCATCACAGAGGCATTTGGAGTAGCATTGGTTGGTTATGTAGCTTCACTAGCCCTCGCCCAGGCCTCTGCTAAGAAGTTCAACTACTCTGTGGATGATAACCAGGTAAACGTTTGTACACTGTTTTCTGCTGATGAAACTTTGGTGAACATGCTATAAGTAGAAACCTACCAGGATCATGACATGCTTTCCGTGGTCTTACAATTAGTCTTAAGGTATAATTGAGAAAGAATTCGGTATAATTGAGAAAGTTGGTTCAAACTATGACATTTTTTTCCAAACTAGGTTCTTGGGTTATGCTAGGCATGCCAGGAAGCCTATAAACCCTGCTGCAGTGATGACCTTATTTCCACACAGCTAGTGACTTTACACCTTACCATGTCCCTCCTGCCATCTCCACCCACTCTGGATAAACTGTTGTGCTTTCTGTAGGCCACAGAGATAGGCCAATGTCCATTCTCAAGACCTTCAGCTCCAAAGTCATGCGAATTTACAATATTATATTAAAGGGCTATTGATCACCCTTGCATTGTTTGGTATCCCAAGGGAACCTCTAAACTACCAGTGAAGAAACCATAAGGGTATGCAGGCATTGGGAGGGAGGGGAAGGATTTGTAAAATTATTGATTTAGAATGTTTCCCAGCTTTTGGCAAAATGTTCTCAAAGTCATTTGCAGAGCAAAAAGTAGCTTGCAAACAGATTTAAGCAAATTCGCTTACAATCTGAGCATGTGTGGGCTTTTCCATGTAGATCTTCCACTGCTGAACAAGAGAACAGACTTCCTCACTTTACACTGGATCGTTATGCAGGTTCTGGTTTTGGAAAGCAACCCCCACCTCGAATTTGTCAGATGCTCCTATGACCCTAAGATTAAGTGTCTCAAGCTCTGCCCACTGAGCCCACAATAGCAAATTCGGAAATGGGTCAGATAATATCCAGGCCAGGGGGATAGGGCTGCTTCTGCAGTTCTTTTGTTTTAGTAGTAGTGGATAGAAGACAGTGGATAGAGAGCATTTCCTTTTTCTCCTTCTTCTGCAACGCTTGAGCTTGGGTGGGTCACCCAGTGAGACTGATGGGCAGTGAGCTTAGAACAGGCAAAACAATTTATTCACACAATGCATGATTAACTTGCGCAAATCACAGTAGCAGCTGGCAGGGTGTCAGGGCTCGTCTGACCTCCCATCACCACTGTTGCTGCAGTTTGCCAGGAGAGAGACAGAGAAAGGTGCGGTGGCCGTGAGGGTGGTGCAGTGCAAGCCAGCCAACCAGTGAGGCCAATCTGGCTTTCCTACTGGTATGTTTGCACTACACCAACCTAGCAGCTACTGTCCCTTCCTGGTAGCCCACAGTAATTGTAGGAATGAGAGGCCAGTTAAGCGTGGCCCCAGTGAAGGCCGCTGGTTTACACAGCTTTAAAAGGGGATTAGACAAAGAAATTCATGAAGGGCAGGCCTATCATTGGCTATTAACACAGCTATATGGAACCTCCAAGTGCAGAGGGAATGTGCCAAGGAATACCAGTTGCCAAGGGTGTTGCCTTTAATCCCTGTTGGTGGGCTTCACAGAAGCATATGGTGGGCCACTGTTGGGATACAGGATGCTTGTTGAGATGATCCAATCTAGCAGGACTCTACTTTGGTTCTTATGCTCTTTCCCCCCAAAATTTCCAGGAGTTCTTGGCTCATGGCCTCAGCAATGTGATCCCATCCTTTTTCTTCTGCATACCCAGCGCAGCAGCCATGGGCCGTACTGCTCTCCTATTCAGCACTGGAGCAAAAACACAGGTAACTCTATTTATGTTGTCAGGGCAGAATAGAAATATTGGCTGTTGTACTCGCATCTCCTGCACTGCAGTGTAATTAGTGCTGAAAATGAGGTGTGAGAGCCTTTGTAACCATTCAAGGGAATGTTGTAGGCACAGGTGCCTGCTATATTGGCAGAAGAAAAGGGAAAGGAAGCAAGCTTAACTCTCCTAAGATGCTTCAGAAAAGTAATACCAACCAATCAAATACAGGGGCAATGATCCTAGAATGAAAATATATTAAGAGCTGCCTACACTGAACTGATGCAATGGATTGTCTAGGTCAATCTTGCCTTCCCTTACCTGATGGCCTCCAGATATTTTGTACTGCAACTCCTATAATATCTTATCATTGTCTGTGCTGGTGTGGGCTGATGGGAGTTTATGGGATACCAGGCTGGGGAAGGCTGCCCTATCCTAACCAGCAGCAGGTCTCCTGGCAAAAAGTCTCTCCCAGCTCTTCTGCCTTTGACCCTCTAAGTGAAGATACCAGCGGATGAACCTGGGATCTTCACCTTACCTTTAGCACATGTTCTTTTCTACAGGTCTACATTTCCCAATGGAAGAAAGAGTAATGTTTAAACTATCTTACAATACCTAGCAAAGATATAAATATAACCTTAAGGTTAACAGTCAGAGTGTTGGTTTCACCTTAAGAAAATCAGACTAATAACTGCTGGGCAGTAAGAGCCTGCCTCCAATTGTATTGATTGTCTCTGCCTACAGTCCACAAGAAGTCTTGTGGTGCTTTGAAACCCTAACCGTTTTTATTATGGAATAAGCTTTTGTGGACTTGAGTCCGTTTCATCAGATGCATGGTGTAATCTTCAGTTGCAGGTGTATGATACATAGGGGATAATGGGATTTGTAAGGAGTGACATCAGACGAAAATGAAATGCAAAAAGTAGCCATTCAGTTAGAACATGTGTGGAATAAGTGCTGTGATCCCTTCAAACAGCAGTAAAAGGTGATAAAACAGCCTGCCCACACTACCAAACTGGAAGTTTCTGAAGCGAGGTTGTCATGTTCTGTGGGGGAAGGGAAATAGTACTTGCCCTTTCCTGAGACACTGTCTGTGCTCATTTCGAAAGTATCTCTAGACCCAAGCAGCTGATGTCTTCCTTCTTTTGATGAAGGCCAAAGAAAACCAAACCAAAACTCTTACCCATTTGTACCGACCAGCGAATGCTTTGATACGTAAGGGCGTATGATCAACCACTGGAGCTATCCATAGAAAATATCAACGGAGACAAAAGCAAATGACAATAGTGATTTTAGAGGCTAGACACAGACACTAAACACACACACAAAAGTCCCTGACAAACCAAACAGTCCTTTGTTTTGGGAAACAAAACTGATCTATTACATGCCTATCTCAAGCCAAGTCTAGTCATCAGACTGACATAAAATAAGCAAAGCAAAGCAACAAATACAGGCAAAAAAAGTTCCCACCCAATAAGAATCACAGGTCCAATCAGGAGAGTAATACGTACAAAATAGAGAATATTTAAAAATCATGCAGGTCATGGTATGGCTAAGAAACAGATCCAATCACTCCCCACAAATTGGTCTCCACTCAAACAAATCCTGCGGCAATTCACCATTAGACTGGAACAACGTCTTATGAGAGATGTGTGGCTATTGCTGAAAGTAGCTTCTCTGCACCTCTTCTCCTTCTCTTCCTCCCGTTGTGCACTAAAACGGAATGAATGACACAATGGTACCATGTTCCAAGTTTTTCTGCACTTGTGCCACTTTATTAGTGCAGAAACTAGAGGTGTGGTGTCACACATTCTCATTTATATGCAAGAAAAGGAAGAGATTGAGGTGGATAGTTGGGAGCATTGCTGTTTTTAGTGCCAGTCCTGCATCTTTTGTAATGTGTAATTGCAGTATTAGATCCTTGAGGACAAAATAAAGGCTTCTTAGAGATCCCTCCATGTAGAATGGGGGGAAAAACTGCATGGGCAACTTTCTTAATGAAATGCAAAAGATTCAGAAAGAAACAGCAATCCATGCATACTTGCTTGTTCTCCACTGCTGGATGCTGGAGCCTTGTGTTCAAATTCCCAGTGACTAGGTGACCTTCTGCCAGTTGCTCTCAGCCAAACTGGTTTCATAGGATTGTTGTGAAGAGAAGCCAGAAACGTATGCCACTCTGAGATCCTTAGAGGAAGTTGGGATAAATAAAGCAATCAGGTTTGAGAGGAACTTGGGAGGAGACAAGTGATGGAACAGAGTGCCTAAACATTCCTCCAGCTACCACTTCCTTGCCACAATTCCCCCCTAGGAGAAGCTGCCAACCAACAGGTATGTGAATGACACGTAGTCCCATCCAAAATCTCATTGAAATCAGCGTGACTTGGGTGTGGATGAACTTCTTCGGATTGCAACCATTGTGTAATAAATGCAGGCACAAAAGTACATTTTCCAGAAGCTCAGTGGTTTCTGCCTGCATATTTGAGATCAAACAGTACCCCCCCCCACTTTTGTATATTGTGCATATTGGTATTTGATACATGTATTTGTTCTTTAGGTGGGCTAAGGGTAACCACAACAGGTCAAATCTTAAATTATACTCAGATGCTTCCAATCTGCAGACCATGTGAGAGCCAAAATCCCCTTTCCTAGCTCCTAGAATTTTTATGTGTCTGCAGTGTTTTGTTATGCTCAGCAACTTCGGCAAACCAAGCACTTTCATTTCATTTTAGACATGCTTTAGAATTTGAATAATATGATTATTTATGCTTCTCCTTTCCAATTGTTTTTAGGTGGCTTGCCTAATATCTTGCATATTGGTGCTTGTGGTCATCTATGCAGTAGGACCAATGCTATACTGGCTGCCCATGGTACAGTTCTTTTTTTAATTACTATTATTTGCGATCATATGATTTTCATAAACTAAACTATTCTTTCTGAAAATGACTGCACCGCCTTTCATTATGATTCCATGATTATTAATGCTCTCATAGAAGGGAGAGAACACACCAGTTTCATGTGCCAAGAACAAATAGGGAGTGGGGAGTCTTTCTTTCTGTTTTGCTTGGATATGAACTGGGTTGCCTGTTTTCGATGGAACGTATTGCAGAAGTTTTGAATCTTTGCACCTAGTGTATAATTTTGCACTAGGTCATAGGACTGGAGCCAGGGCTTCTAGCATGAGAAAGGGGAAAAACCCTTATTCTCCACGCAAGGAAAGAGGCCTTTCTACTGTCTGAAGAAATGAAAGTGGCATATTCACTCACAGCCTGTTCTTGTCCCTGGTTATTATTTTTTGGATTTTAAAAATGCCTGGTATTTCAAAGGCTCTTTGAATTTATCCTTCTAGTTGCCACCCAAATGTATCGTGCATTGCAATTTCAGAATCCACAAAAGGCACGTGTAAGATATTTTGTCTTTGGCATTATTTATATTTGGAGGTGTTGATAACTGTAGTGAAGAGGTGTCTTCAGGCTTCCTGGGAATTTGCCAATTAACTTGCCGAAATCTATTTCCCTGAATGTTTGGGGGGAAAATGCTGAATTCACTTCTTGACAAAGGATTCTTTCATTGCAGTGCGTTCTAGCAAGTATCATTGTGGTGGGGCTGAAGGGGATGCTGGTGCAGTTCCGTGACTTAAAAAAGTATTGGAATGTGGATAAAATAGACTGGGTAAGTGAAATTGAATCTAAGGATTCCCCTCCTCCAGGCCTTTTAATGCATGGGATAATGTCCTAAATGCCCCCATTACCAAGTCTTCCCTTTTGTTGCTGTTCCTCAGCCAACTGTGTAGGAATTTACTGAGAGGAAGGTCCATTCTTTTACATATGAATTAAAGTTTTGCCACTGTTTCTTTCCCTTACCCTTTCTTTTCCCTGCTAACAAAGCACTCTTCTCCTCTGTCATGTGCTCTCAAGAATCCGCCTTCTCATTTGATGTTCTAGGACCAGGAAAGGTCCTAGAACAAATAATTAAGTGGGGTTAAACATGTTATTTGACGAGCTGATGATGTGTTGATTTCTATTAGTCGCCTTACTTGTCTTTATAAAAATACTTTGCCAAAGTACTCTTTGTATATTCTGTAATGTCTTTACCGAACTTTGTTCCTGTCTATGATTTTCCTTTAAAAGCTGGAAGATAAAAAGAAAACCTGCTTCACTCTGTGTCAGGGTGGCATATTGACGTCCTTATTAACAAGAGTTCTGACAGAGAGCCATAACAAACCTCTGAAAGGGTAACTGACAGGTGGGGATATGGTTGTCTTGGCCAGCCTTTCCCAGGCATTTGTGCCTTGTATTATGATTGAAGTGAAGATGTCCCATTGCCAAAGGAGGAACCTTCTTGAAATAAATATTGGTTTTATACTTACAATTGCATTCTAGGTTGGATGTTTAAAACTCCATAAGACTCTCAGTGGAACATCAATAGAACAAGAATGAATTCAGGAAACAGAAACAGTTACATATGATTCTTTGTCACATGCCAAATCTTATTATGTAGAAGCAAATACGTCAGTTCTAAGGAGCTTGCGGTTTAGCCCTTGTGTGTTGAGAAACCTCTACTTGCCTGTAATAGTTGCTATGGTGTCTGGAGAGCCTTATTACAGCCACTGCTATTGCCACCTCTACTTGCTTACTTTTCTTCGACAGCAACATAGGGACACTGCTGTGAGGGATAGCAGGTCTTGTTTTGCCCATTGGGACTGCCTCCCCCTGGGAAAACCCATTCTTTACTGCTGAATCGGAGCAAACCTCAGTTGGGTTTCCCATGGATTGACGTTTGCTCCGATTCTGGGGTAAAGCGTGGGTTTTCCAAGGGAAAGTGGCAGGGCAAATGGAAAACCGCTCAGACCCATGCCTAGAGAGCACGGGACAAGCAGAAAACTGCTCAGATCCTTGCTTTCTCAGCATGGGATAAGAGGAAGTGTGGACCCTAAGAAGGCAGGCAGGTGGGTAGCTCTTTGGCTGGCTGTAGCAGCTATCAAGCCCGTAGTTGCTGCATGCAGATGGGCACTTCGATGCAAGTGAGATCATTGGCCTTTTAGGATTAGGGGTTTGGTTTGAGAACAGTGCTCTCTCAGAAATGTTTTGGAGTTCAACACTCATTGTTGAGAGAAGATCTTCTTTGGGTGGTAAAATTCTCCTTGGATCCAAAGTATTCCTCTCACCTCCTACCTTTGTTTCCTGCTCTTCAAGATTTGTATAAAGCATTATCCTGCCCTTTTCTGTCTTTTCCCCTTGCCTTCTCCTTGGAATTCAGAGTCATCGTTTTCAAAAGCAAGTGCTGAGCTAGCAGTTTTCCCAGGCTGTGTGCTTCAGTGCTATTACAAAGAAACCATTTCATTCCAGACGAGATTGTAATTTCAGTTTGGCTAATTTGTTCTAAGGGATGTGAATTGTGGTATGATTTATGTAGCAACACAACCACTATGGAAGGAACTTGAAATAATCAAATTGCTTCAGCCAGGTACCAATTAGTCATCGGGGGATAATTTTCCATCATTTTGGCTTTCTTTACAACCAACATGATAGAGATGAAAAAGACCTTTTCATCAGTCTTCTTACAAAGCAACTCCCCAGTCCTGAATCCACCCCCCCCCCCCGCTTCTGTTTTCTTCCCTGTACATACATATGCATTTTGCTGGTTTGGGTTTAATGTTTTACTCGTTGTTCTCTTCTCAATTTGCACTATAAATCTTACTTTTTGGGAGGAGCAAAACTTCAGCATTGGACCATGCTTGGAAATAATAAGCAAGAGAACAACATTCAGTGAAATTAAGAAGCAGCCAGATCTTTTTACACAAATGCAAAGATGAACAGATTTTAATTTCAAATTTTGTAAAAGGAAACCTTTTGCAATCATTCTCCCCCTTGCCCCCTCCACATTTCAGCACTCTGGTTCAAACCAGTAGAAGTCAATGAGATATCAGAATGTTATGAGATTTCAGTGCTAGCACTGAAGCTGAATATAAAATTACTATTTTTTGGATTAGATTTTTAAGTTTGTATATGTGTATAGACTTGAGAGTGATTGCTCTGCTACAGATTGTAGATATTTGCAGAAATCCTTTGTGAAGTAGTGGTTACAGCATGGGATAGAGTTTCAACCATGAAACTTTCTGGATGATCTCAGATCAGTCACTATCTCTTAGCATAACCTACATCAAAGGCTTTTTTATAGAAATAAAATGGGGAACCTCTATGATCCTTGTAGGCATGTTAAGAAAGAAATGTGATCAATAAAATATAACACTTCTCTTTAAAAGTGTGTGTGATACAGATCCGCAAGCTTGGAGTCCTACCATCTAGTGTCACCATCTTGATAAGTGTTTCATATCTTTAAAAAGTCACTCCCACTGATGATGTTCTCCATACACTGCACCAGTGCACTTAAATACACAGATCTCTCACAATGCTATAACAGCCTCTGTAAACAGCAACATGTAAAATAGCTCACTAGGCTCGTTGTCAGGGCTTGAGATCTTTTAGGCTATATTGCGTACCAAATCCAACCATTTATTAGTCATGGCTTCTTGGGCTATCAAAGTGTAATTGCAGGTGTGCATTGCTTGACTTCTGTTGTATCATACAAGAAGCATGGCTTTTGTTATATCATACAGGAAGCACGATACCACTGCATGTGGTAGGATACCGTATTTTTCGCTCTATAACACGCACCCGACCATAACACGCACGTAGTTTTTAGAGGAGGAAAATCCGTAGGCATGCCACCCGTAGGCATTCCCTCCATAACACGCACAGACATTTCCCCTTACTTTCTAGGAGGAAAAAAGTGAGTGTTATGGTGCAAAAAATACGGTAAATCTGTAACTGTCCATGGTACTGATTTTCTTTATTTTTTTCTCTTTCGCCCCTTGTCCTGCCACTGCTGTGGTCATATTGGTTTTGAATGTTTCTCTAGTCCTTTGACCAGAGCCTAGGAAAAGCCTATGCTGGCTCCTAGTAGTGTGACCAGTGCTGCTACAATAAATGTGTACTTATTTATCCCAAAAAAGAAAAATATTATAGGGTGATCCCTATGGGGAAGGGATATTTTGGACAAAAATCAGCTTGCAGGAAAAGCGTTAATAACCTTTCTTCCCACACACATTTTTGCTAAGTTTGTATAACTAATTCCTTTTTGTCTTCTGTTCTTTTCCTTACAGAGTATATGGGTTAGCACTTACATATTTACAATTTGTTTTGCTGCTAATGTGGGATTGCTGTACGGCGTAGTCTGCACAATACTTATAGTGGTTTTCCGTTTCCCAAGGTGAGACATTCCTACAGTGTTCTCAGAGGCAAACAATTTTGTATCCACAACAGTGAAATATATCATTCTATTGCATTTAGGGCAAAAATACATTACAAACTTACATAGGTTATATGCCAGTTCAGCTGTCATTCCTACCTCCAAGTAATCATGGGAATTGTAGTCTATTGAAGGTTCACATTCCTAGCCCATGTCACAGAATGCTCAGAGTATAGGCTATGACTATGCAGCCAATTTCAGGATTAAAATAAGCATGATGTAAGGGGGAAAAGGGATTCCAAATCCTATGCTTCCATTGTAAAATGAATATGGGGTCTGAGGATGTTGTTAGCAGGAGCCAGCTGGTAGTTGGGGATGGGTTAATTCCTGTCTTCTGCTCATTGATGCTGCCTTGCAAATGCATCTGGAAAAACTGTCCAATGTCTTTTTTTCGTGTGTACATATAGGTGAACGAATCCTGTTAATTTAACTATTGAGCCCAGTGGCGTAGCGAGGGTTGCCAGCACCCGGGGCAGGGCAAGTGTTGCACCCCCCCCACCCCCAGTGAACTGGGCAGCTGGGGTGGGGGCTCACACTGGGGGAGGGCATGTGTGGAGTCCATGTGGAGGGTGAATGGAACCTGCCTCCAACAGGCTGCTCGCCTGCTTCTTCCATCCACCTGACCACTAGACGAACCTGCTTGCTGCCGCGCCTCAGCTGCCAGGGCTCAAAAATGTGCACCTGGGGCCATGCCCCGCCCCGGGCCCCCTCACACTATGCTTCTGATTGAGCCTGACTTTTTTTTTAAAGTAGGAGAGCAAGTAGCTATAGAACCCTTTCTATTTTAGCACCCATTAACACACACAGGTTGTCCAGTGTATGAAGTAAGTAATTTGCAGAATCTGGAACATGTGAATAGCCAGATGCCACCTGGAAAATGTTCACTTTTCAAAAGTTTGTTTTGGCATCTACAGTCACACTGTGCAGTCTTATATATGCTGCTTTCACATATCTGTTATAGAGCAACGACTCTGAGCCTGAAACATATGAAAGAAGTGGAATGCAGATTCAAAACAGAAGCAGATTCTGTAAGCCTAGTCTTCTTATTCTCTCTTTATTCAAAGGGAGTTATATTTCAGCATGGGGAATCCCTGTCCTCCTCCTCCTCCTCCTCTGTGTTTTGTCCTTGCTGGACATGTGTCCATTTCAACTTCCTTCCTCAGAGTGTATGTGGAGACTGCCTGTACCTATAGCAGCAGGGGAGGGGTGTAGCAGGAGGGACCTGATCTTATTCGTATTGCACACAACCTAATGAGAACCTGGCATCATCTTGGCATTCAGGAGTCTAGGGTGCAGAATGCTTTAAGCGGCATTAAAAAAATGTTGGGAGACATTTCAGACTTCTCAGTTTCCATACATTTATTTCCTGTCCACTGTGGGGCCTACTAGAAGGCTCAGCCTGAGGGATGACTCCTGGTGCCACCAGATTTTGCAGAGGAGCATGGAAACCAAGTCTTTTGAGGAGTGGTTGAAAGAGCTGAGTATGTTTCACCTGAAGGAAAGGTTAAGGGGAGGCATGGCTGTCTTCAGATATCTGAAGGACTGCCATGAAGAAGATATTGCTCCAGTGGGCAGAACAAGAACCAAAAGGCGGAAAATTGCAGGAAAGCAGCGTTCACTTAAACATGAGGAGAAACTTCTGCACACTGCCTGTGGGGTGGTATGTGGTAGGCTTTCTCTTGGTCGAGGTATTTTACTAGAGGCTGGGTAGCTGCATTGTAGATCTTGCCTTGCATTGAGCAGGAAGTTCTTAGAGCTCAAATGGCCTTTGCAACTCTCACGTCCATTAGTCTATTGTAAAGAATGCTATGTCTGTTGGTTAACAAGCATTACTATATTTGCTAAACTGTTTTTAATTTTAATTCAAAGGAGTCCTTACAACCAGTAAAAATTGTCTCGGTGAATAACCCACTCGTCTTTCTGAATGCTAAGAAGTTTCACATGGACATATTAAAAATAATCCAGAAGGAAAGCACGTGTGCACAGCAGCTACCTGAAGACATGAACAAGGTAAGGCATGCTTCATCATGGAGAGAGGGTTGCTTGCGTTTCTTTCTGTACTTTCGGTTCACGTTTTCATTCCACCCGCTCGCATTACAGAGAGGAAATTCAAACTGTACTGCAGATTCAAAGCATGGTGATTGCACTTTGTGTTTTTTCCAAGAGGAAATGACTCGGGGGTAGAGAACACACTTTAGAACAGAGATAGCTGCTTTATCCCCAGTAAGACTGTTGGCACATCTAACTCAGCAGTCTACACTGACTGTCGGTGGCTCTTCATAGGCTTTATACAAGGATTGGGTCCTGGGTCATTCTCCAGGCATTCTCTATTACTGAGCTGTCAGGTTTGGTGTCTGGCAAATCTAGTCAAAGGAATTAAAATAAGCAGAATAAAACCCTTTCTTGCTTGAGACATAAATTTCTTAACTGGGAAACAGAATCTGGATCTTGCTTGGTATTATTCCCCCTAGAAAAGTTGGTTCCAGGACTCACCACAAAGTTGTTACAGTAAGTCACTGGGCGACTAAGGGCAGCCCTGAACAGATGCCCCTTTTGACAACAGCTGCATTCACCACCCACGGAGGTCTAAAAACTATGGCAAGCTGTCTCCCTAACTGGTGTGGGAGTCTCCCCTGGTTCTGGTACAGCTCCCTAACTGGTGTGGGAGTCTCCCCTGGTTCTGGTACAGGTCAAATAGATGTGCCTCCACCTCCCTCATTCTCTTAGTTTCAGGTAGATGGCTAGGGCAGGTCAGAAGGGCCCTCACACAAACTTGGAGGTCTTTAAGCAGAGGCTTGACAACCATATGTCAGGAGTGCTCTGATGGTGTTTCCTGCTTGGCAGGGGGTTGGACTCGATGGCCCTTGTGGTCTCTTCCAACTCTATGATTCTATTCTATGATTCTATGTATGTGTGCAACGGTGGAGGCTGGCTTGAAAGCTTAAAGCCTGCTGTAGCTACACAGGAGACGGGTTGAGGAAAAGGAAGGAGGACTTGGCCCCGCCATCTAGCAGCTAGTAGCCAGGTGGAGTCATAGATCTAAATAAAAGTGTAGACTCTCACACGCTGGCCAGCTTCCGTTTTGACTTGAAATGTTCGTTTTGCGGCGGGAGCACCAGCCCACAATGACACCCACCTGGGAGGGGTTTTGGTGTGCTCTGACTGGGGGGGGGGAGCACTTACCTTGCTACTGACCATCAAAGTTGACAATACAGTATTGGCTGGATGGAGGAACCTTACAGCAAATATGCAGCAGCAAATTTCAGGATTATTAATAGTGGCCACTTTGTCTTGATCTTCAGAGCATCCCTTTAGTGGCATGGCTGCTTGCCATGAATGCTGACTGTGCATGGATGATCAAAGGAAAACAACAACAAACAAGCCTGTGATCATGTAAAGCATACTCAATAAACACACGAGACGTAACCGGCAGTGTTCTTAGGGATTAAATTATTTTTTACATATTCAGTTAACGCTGCTGCGTGCATTTCTAAACATACTTTTTGTTTTGACAAACTAAGTAACGAAGGCAGGAGGTGTCTCAGTCACCTATATGCAAGTGCATGGTTGCTGGCTGACTGGCAGCCCCCACCAATGTCAGCATTCTGCACCTGGGGTTCCTAGCTAATATGCCACCATGGTGCTGAATGAGACAGCCTCTGCCTCTCTCGCAAGCTCCTGAATGTTTCTGGTAATGATTGATTTCCCTCCTTGGATTGCTCTGGTGAGTCTAGCAAGCCAGTACTGGATATTACAGAACCACCAGACATCTCCAGGACTCCCACTTCTCTCAAGCAAACTGACTGTGCAAAGCTACACTGGGACCTCCCATAGTTGAAGGAATTGAAAGCACAACATTATTTATTCCCCCTTCCCACTTAGTAAGGTTGTGTGATATGGCAACACAGAAGCCAATTTCCAGCGCTACAGTAGTGGAGTCCTTCTGTTGATTTTGGTTAGATATGATTGAGAAAGCAAAAGCTTAATTTTTCAGAACAGTGGTCCATCCATCACTCTTAACAAAGACTTTGTTTATATGAATACTCTGTGCCTGGCCATTTCCCCTGCCCCTCCACCAAATCAGCATTTGAAGCTATGGAGCTGATCCAGATTAGAAACCTAGGAGCATGACTCAAAGCACGCCTAAGAAAACAGTGACCTAGTCAGAGCCAGCAATCCAAAAGCCAGTGCTTGGATCCAGGGTAGACCATGCGCCAACTATTAAGCCAGGTAGCTCTGATTCTTGACATGCACCCACAGACACACTGCTTGCTACTGAAGCCAAACAAAATAGAAAATGAGTTGTGCACAGTAAATGAAGGATTCTACAAGTGTGATGTGGGTGGGTGGGGTGTCAGTTCAATGAGCATAGAAGAGGATTAGCCAAATTCATGGAAGCGAGATCTATCGATGGCTATTAGCAATCACGGATAAATAGAGCTTCCATGTTCAGAAGCAGTATTCAGAGAAAAAGATACTGCCTCTATGCCTGGGTTCTGGGCTTTCTGACAGCATCTAACTGGCCATTATGGGAAATAGGATTCTGGACCAGAATCTTAAGTCTATCCCAGCAGCATTCTTAATGTTCTTAAGTTACAGAGGCAAATATATGCATAAATGAAGCTGACCAAAGTTATTTTATGGCCCATATAACGTGGCTTTAGTATATATGCTGCTGCTGCCGCCACCGCTGCACTTTCCCCCATCTTGCTATTCTGTTGAGTCATTGCTAGCCAAACCATGCTATGGCAGTACAATAAATGTGTCCTCGGCTCCAACACCTTCTGGGCTCATGTACCCTCTTCTCTCCCTATGCCTTCCCCTCATGTGCTTGAGCCTCTCCCTCTGTAGTTTGAGGCAAATTTAGGGCCACCCCTAGGTTTATTGTAATACTGTGCATGGTTTTTTTTTTAAAAAATATATATAAATGGTTTAGCTATTTTCTGTTGTGGGTGTTACTGTTAGCCACCTTGGGCATTTTTAATGGAGAGTTTGAGTATAAGTGTACCGTAATAAAAAATATTCATTTATTGTTTAATTTACATCACACCCCTTTTAAAGTGAGGGTGTTATTGCTACTGAGGCTGGGCTGTAGTTGCCTCACGAAGAAGCACTGAGTCTCCAGGCCCAGTAAAGAAGCACAGAGTTTAATACAACGGAACTTCAGTTACCTTTGCGTACAGTGGATTTGCAAAACTTTTAAGGCAGCAAAACAAGGGACAGTTCTTTCTCTCATCGCTTCCTTTTTCTATTTCTTACAGTATGAACAGAACACATTGCTCAGCCCATTATCCAATGGAAATTGCCATGGTGAGTTTATCATTTAAGACATAAACACTTGGCGGGCCTTTAGATTACCCCCATCATATTCCAGGACCCATGTCAGTTAAAGTTTGATCAGGAATCAAACTTATCTCACTGCCCCACATACCTTCCCTTTGACATGGCAGGAGGTGAAGGGTCTGAAGATTGTGAATGTATTGGAATGAGTGTGCTGATGTAACTAGGTGTTCGAAATGTGTTGTAAAATAAACATGTGGGGCATTTATCAAATGTAGGTGATCTAGATTTCCAGGTTTGCACCACTTTGGAGATCAGTGGAATACCATAAAATTATATGATTGGGCCATATTTCTCCCCCCCGGTTCTTTATTGCTTTAGAATCTAAAGTTCAAATGAATACACTTGCCTGTCGGCATTGCACCTTTGCACTACAAAAGCTCCAAATTGTGGTGTTGTGCCTTCTTTGAGAGCTTTGTTCTCAATTTTCCGCACGCCAGTCGCAGAGAGCTGTTTGTGTGTGCTGTGACTGCAAGACCCAGGACCCAAAACCAAAGCAAGAGCTTCCCATTACATGCAGGGCTTCTCTTGAGTGCAAGACCTAAGAGATGGCAATGGAGAAGGTAGCATGAATGTGCCTGATGCTTACACGTCCGGGCAAGGAGCATGATGTGATGTCACTTAGAATCACCCAGAAGGCTAGAGGCAGGCAGGCATGAGTTCTGTAGGATGTACACAAATGGCTGCCAGCTAGGAGGTGAAAGGGAAGACCTTTCCTGATGCCTGACTGGCCAAAGGGTGGTTAACAGGGTCGAAGATGACTTTCCTGGAGCTCAAGTATGGTGAGAGCCAGTATGGTGTAGTGGTTAAGAGCGGTAGATTTGTAATCTGGTGAACCGGGTTCGCGTCTCCGCTCCTTCACATGCAGCTGCTGGGTGACCTTGGGCTAGTCACACTTCTTTGAAATCTCTCAGCCCCACTCACCTCACAGAGTGTTTGTTGTGGGGGAGGAAGGGAAAGGAGAATGTTAGCCGCTTTGAGACTCCTTAGGGTAGTGATAAAGCGGGATATCAAATCCAAACTACTCTTCTTCTTCTTCTTCTTCTTCTTCTTCTTCTTCTTCTTCTTCTTCTTCTTCTTCTTCTTCTTCTTCTTCTTCTTGAACCAGCTCATTATCTCCCATCTATGCCATACATTCAAAGTATCTAGCTACTTTTAACAATCATGGTCATCCCGCCCCCCCGCCCAGAATCCTGGGAAGCAAAGTTTGTTAAAGGTACAGTGGTACCTCGGGTTACAAACGCTTCAGGTTACATACGCTTCAGGTTACAGACTCTGCTAACCCAGAAATAGTACCTCCGGTTAAGAACTTTGCTTCAGGAGAAGAACAGAAATTGTGTAGCGGCGGCATGGCGGCAGCGGGAGGCCCCATTAGCTAAAGTGGTGCTTCAGATTAAGAACAGTTTCAGGTTAAGAATGGACCTCCAGAACGAATTAAGTTCTTAAACTGAGGTACCACTGTACTGAAAGTTCTTAGGAGACCCCCCCCTTTTCTTCTTACAGAGCTCCAGTTCCCAAAGTTCCTTGGGAGGTGGGACTGATTGTTAAACCACTGTGGCAGCTCTGTGAGGGGAATCACAGAACTGTAGAGTTGGAAGGGACCCAAGGGTAATCTAGTCCAGCCCTCTGCAATGCAGTAATCAGAGTCCTGGTCTTCCAACTGCCACCCCCTTTCACCTCTGGACAAGAGACTCAGAACAGCATGCCATGTTGCACCCCCCCCCCCAGGGGGAGGTCTTCTAACAACCCTCAGGACCCTTAGCAAACTATAATTCCCAGGATTGTTTGGGAGAAGCCAGGACTGTTTAAATTGGTATACTGCTTTAAATGTATAGTGAAAATGGAAGCTTAGCTTGGCAGAGCAGGCTGTCTCTTACTGGGCCTAGAAGAATCTGTCTGTTTCAGTTTCTCATTTTTATAGTCTTATGTTCTCATCTCAACTATTCTGCATCAGTTTTCTGTTTCTTTTTTTTTTTTTAAAAAAAGGCTTCCCTTAAATTAATCAGTATTTTGTTTATTTTATAAAATGTGTATTCCACTTGATTGTAAAAACAAAGCAAAACCTAAAGCTGTTTACAAAAAAACTCTCATTTTACTGCTCATTCCTCCCAATTTACATTTTATATGCATTTTTACTCGATAAACACATTTTTTCAACCACTTTCTCCTACAATACTGCATTTTGAATGTTATCTTCTCTCATATATGCATGTTATATACACATTTCTGCACACATTATTTGGTTGGAGAACTGAATTTTTAAAGTTGAAGAAGTAGCTACATTTGAGCTTGCATATTATTTGGGGAAAGTGGAAATTAAGTAGTTTTCATTAAAATGCAAACTCAGCAAATTCTTCCCCATCTCTTGTTCCATGTATTGACTTTTTCATTTAATTGGGATGCTAAGGTGGGGCCCAGGAGGCTTTTTAAATACAAAATAATCCTTTATGAATGATTTTAGAGTGTTGTTTGTGCTGTACTTTTGTACTGTTTTATTGTTGTTAGCCACCCTGAGCCCGGCTTCGGCTGGGGAGGGCGGGATATAAATAAAATTTATTATTATTATTATTATTATTATTATTATTATTATTTAACTCACTCCCCATTGAATTCCATGTCCAAAGATTGTGTTTCACGACAAAGTAAGATACAAACATTGTGAACTTTATGTGATAAAAAAACCTATTAATAAACCTATAAGACGCCCCCATGTATAAGACACCCCCTATTTTGGGGGACCCCAATTTAAGAAAATGAGGGGAGATACTATCCATGTATAAGACCAGCCCAGATTTTGAACATTATTTTAGAGTAAAAAACCACAGTCTTATACATGGAAAAGTACCATATTGTGGGGCAATGTGACCACCTGGAGACGTTGAAATGCCAGCAATGTTTTTTTTTCTATTCAGGTAAATCAGTAACTACAAGGTAAAACAAATACTGGAGAATTTTCCAAGCTTTTGATGTATTCTCCCATAATTCCTGATCTTTCATTATCTCTCTGGGGCAAAGATTTTCTTTTACTCTTTGACATTTTTGAATGGGCTGTGGAGAGGATTTCATTAAAGGCCTAGCAGCTCTCTTGAGTCTATTTTTAGTTACTGTCTGGCTGGAGTTTACTTTCTTTGATATTGATTTCTCTTTTGCTCTATTTGGAAAACATTATGCATATACAATTAAATAATCCAATAAACCTCAAGAACTGCAAACGAAAAAAAAGCACCAAATCTTTGGCTACTTATTGAGAGGATTTAGTGCCAATGTAAATCCATACATTGTTAGCACCTAAGTCCCTTGAAGAATTTCTGAGCCCTTTATATTCTTTGTCAAAACTATTTAGTTTAAACCGTTTCATTTTGTATCTCCATCCTTTTGTTTAGTGCTTTGTAGTTTATAACTTAGAAGGTTAGTTCTCTTCCAATATTTAACAGAAGAAAGCAAATGATACTTGTGTCCTGTAGGCCAGATCCCTGTAATGGGGTGGAAAGCAAATACTGTGGTTTGTAGCTCGGGCAGTGCAAAGTTACTATCCTATCAGTGTAAGGATTTCGACTTCTGCAGCAGGACCCCCCACCATACACCCCCTAAATATTTTTTGGGGTTTCCCCCAACCATCTGAAGCAGATTTGAGGAGGGGGCAGACTTTGGGCTGCAGGAAGGAAGAGGGGAGAAGTTCTGCCTTGCAAGTGGAAATCCTTATGCTCATGGGATGGTTATTTAGCACTGCCTGTGAATCTGTTTCTTTGAGGTTGCTATGGGACATTTTTAGAAACAGTAACTTTAGCATATGTTTTTAGAAAGCTCACATTATTATGAGAAGCATCAAGTGTTTAAAGATACTTAGTGGTTAACCACCTGCTAACTGAATTGAGCAACTACCTAGTGAAGTGGATGCTTTATGGATGCTTTAGCCGAGATTCCTGCATTTACGGGGGTTGGACTAGATGACCCTTGGATCCCTTCCAGCTCTAAGACTCTAAGTTTGCCTATTGGAAAGCATCTATGAAGCTGTTCCCTTTACATTCCATGAAGAGACAGTTGCGCTCAAACTTGCCATCAGTTCCCCTAATAGAAAATTTGGGTGGTAAGTGTTGACAGAAATTGAATCAAAATCCAGGAGGTCCTCACAAAACATGGGAGGAATTTTGAAGGAAGCTAAACAACTTCTATGGACGCGGGTGGCGCTGTGGGTTAAACCACAGAGCCTTGGACTTGCCGATCAGAAGGTTGGTGGTTCGAATCCCTGCAACAGGGTGAGCTCCCGTTGTTCGGTCCCTGCTCCTGCCAACCTAGCAGTTCGAAAGCACGTCAAAGTGCAAGTAGATAAATAGGTACCGCTCCGGCAGGAAGGTAAATGGCGTTTCCATGTGCTGCTCTGGTTCACCAGAAGCAGCTTAGTCATGCTGGCCACATGTATGCCGGCTGTATGCCGGCTCCCTCGGCCAATAAAGTGAGATGAGCACCGCAACCCCAGAGTCGATCATGATTGGACCTAATGGTCAGGGACCCCTTTACCTTTACTAAAGAACTTCACTAAAAGTGGAATTATTATTTATTTTAAGGAACTAGCAAGGCTTTTCCGTAAAGCTCTCTGGGAATCTGATAAAGAACGGAAACCATAAAATATACTGTTAAACCACCATAGGGAGGGCACGGGGCTTCATTTCTGGTCTTTTCAGCTTCTCTCCAGTCATGTCTAGGAACATAGGAAGCTGTCTCATCCCACATCAGACCAATAGTGCATCTAGCTCATTCATGTCAACATGGACTGGCAGTAGCTCTCCAGAACCTCAGGCAGGAGCCTCTTCGTCTTACCTGGAGATGCTAGGGATTGAATCTGGGGCCTTCAGCACACAGAGCATGTGAGGGAGTTGGGTATGATTAGCCTAGAGAAGAGAAGACTGAAAAGTGATATGATAATCATCTTCAACTGTCTAAAGGGTTGTCACATGGAAGATGGAGCAAGCTGCTTTTCTGGTACTACTCCAGAGGCTAGGACCCGAACCATTGGGTTCCAATGACAAGGAGATTCTGACTAACATTAGGAAGAACTTTATAACAGTAAGAGCTCTTCAACAGTGGAATAGACTATCTTGGAAGCTGGTGGAGATTTTTAAGCAGAGCTTGGATAGCAATCTGCCATGGATTCTTTAGTTGTGATTCCTGCATTGCAGGGGGTTGGACGAGATGACCTCTGGGCTTCCCAGCTCTACAATTCTACAATTCCACATAGAAATCCCCACTTATTTCAGATTGATACCGCATCTGTCTGTAGCCCACAAATAAAATAAATAAATAACAGACCTTTTAACTAACCATATAGGTGAACCATCGTTACAGCAACGGCCCAGCGAAAGGCATTCCCTAATACTTGACTGCAGTGGCCTGACTTTCTTTGACTACACTGGCATCTCTGTGCTTACTCAGGTATTTATGATTCCCCACGTTCATTTTATTGTATCCACACTATTCTATAGTGTCACTGTATTCTGCCTTGGTCAGACCCCCACCTAGAGTACTGTGCCCAATTCTAGGTAGAACTATTAATAAGGATATTGACAAGCTGGACTGTGTGCAGAGGAAGGAGACCAAGAAGCTTTATGAGGAAGGATTGAGGAAATTGGGTGTGTTTAGCCTGGAGAGGATAAGACAAAGGTGATATGATAGCCATCTTAAAGGGCTGTCACATGGAAGATGGAGCAAGGACGTTTTCTGTTGCTCCAGAGGGTAGGACCCAAACCAATTAATTCATATTATAAGAAAGGGATTCCGACAAAACATTAGGAAGAGCTGTGTGACTCAGGAGCAGACTACCTTGGAAGGTGGTGAACTCTCCTTCATCAGAATTTTTTGAACAGAGGGGTCTTTAGCTGTGATTCCTGCATTGTAGAAGGTTGGACTGGATTGCCCTTGGGGATCCCTCCACTATAGTTATATGATTCTATACACCTACCTGTGTGTGTGTGTGTGTGTGTGTGTGTGTGTGTGCTCTGTGGATGAATCTCCCACTCATTCTACTCCCAGTTACGCGTTCCAACAAGTTTACTGCTGGCATAATCTAGGATAGCAGGCGGCCTCCTAAACATTCACTCCTCCTTCAAGAATATCACAACTGTCTAATGCAGAATGCATTGATGGTTGCAGAATGGGCACGAATCTTTGTGCTGTTCCTTTAAAAAAAATTTTTTTTTAGACCAAATTCATACATCCACACTTGTAGCTTGATGGCTGCAGCATCAAGTGATGACTTGCATGTGGGTTATAAGCCCTCAGAGGTCAATCACCATCTAATTCCACTCCTTTGTCATTTCAAACACAATACTTCCCAATGGTGTAATCTCCAAACTGTAAGTCATCTTGTGAAATTAACTGACCTACACGTACGTGGGAATAAGATCCCAGCCTGGAAACTATTTGCCTCCCCTATCTTTTCCTATAGGGTCCTATGTTTACTTTCTAGTTGTCCCTTTTTTTCTAGGAAGTTTCCTCTCAGACAAGTCCGCCCCCCCCCCACTTGACCAAATGCAGATTGCTTCTTTTTTCACCTTTTCCCGGAAACTGCCCCTCCTTCCCGATAAAGATGACCGTCCTATCCAAAGCCTTTAGCTGTCCTTCTCTGTTAACAATCGGATACTTTACGGAGTAGCAAAACAAGTGTTCAGAAGTCATGAGTCAAACATGCAAGTATTATCATAAGAGAGAAAAGGGTCAGAGAACCAGAGTAGTCACAGCATATGTGACTGGACATTGCTTTTGTGGACATTGCACTCATCAAACTTAATAGAAATCATTGACCAGGTGGGACAGGCAGGATTTGCCCTTAAGCCGGGGTGGGAAACCTTTTTGGCCCATTGGGACAGATCTTTATCTACCCCCCACCCCAGCGGGCCAACTTGGACAAATGGGGGGCATCACCCACTTGCCAGTCTCCTTTGAAGTATTATCCTACTGGAACTATTCCATTTTTCTTTCACAATAGCCAGTGAGTCGGTGGAGGTGAGCTGGATTGGGAGGGGAGAGGGACTTTAGACATTTGCTCCTGTGTTCCCAATCCAGATATCCCCCTGTGCCTGCTATGCGCATGGAAAAAAGCTCCCTGTGCAAATGGACACAGGGTTAGATCTATCCAGATAGGAATCAAACGGGTCAAAAGATTTAAGCATCCCCTGACACCCCCAGCCCTGCTTAGTTTTGTGTGTGTTGGCTATTTGTGAAAGAAAAATATTGCACTCAAACCACATGAATAACATCACATGCCTTTAGTCCTAGATCAAATAGATCATTTCACATTGCTTTTTAAGATTACTTAGAAGAAAGCAGATGCCATATGCTTCTTTTGTATTAGGGCTTCACGGAGGGGCAAAGACCAAAAGCTGCTTCTTTGAGATCCAGTGGCACTAAAGGGTTTTAGAAACCTTAATCTCTAGCTGCTACACCCCAGTTGGAAAACAGGCTTTTGCTTTAGGAATGAATGCAAACTTGGGCCACTGTACATTCAACGCTTAAAAACCGTACTGATATTGTGACCGACATAGGTTTAATATTTGCATTACGTTTTAAGGAAAAAACGCTGAAGCCACAGTGTTACTGTTAGGACCCTTTATCCACGTGACATAGCAAAGTGCATGTGAGCTTGCCCTGTGCTGCATGTGTCATGGACTAAGGGAAGAGGGCAGGAGATGCATCAAATATATGCTCTGGTCTGTGCTCTGTTTGCATTTGCATCATGGTCAAAATAAGCTCAGACCAGTTGCATTGATGGCAGCAGGGATGGGCTCTTGCCTTCTTGCCATGCTTGTGGCCTTCCTGGAGGCAACTGGCCAGTCTTTGAGGGGAACATAATACTGGACTCGATGGAACTTAAGCAGAATCCTCCTGGATCACAGCAGTGTTTGTCCTTACAATGTGGCATTGAGGCTTACCATTTCATACCACAAAACCTTAATGGATTTTAGCTTTTAGGGGGATGTTTATATTATGGAACAGTTCCCTCTGCTGGACACTTGCAATTCAGCATGTATGTTTTTTGCTAAGTATTATTTAGGCTAGGCACACATAATTCATTTAAAGCAACCCCACCCCTCAAGAATCCTGGGAACTACAGCTTGTTATGGGTACTGAGAACCATAGCTCTGTGAGGGATAAATCACAATTCCTAACTTATTTGGAGGGGAATGTGCTTTAAACATGTTTTAAAGATATGGGGTGTACCTGTTTCTTACTGAATGACATCTTTCCTGAGCCAAAAGTGGGCCTTGCTAATTTGTGTTAAATTCATTTATATGAAATAATGAAAGCAGCAACAACCAGGTGACAAAATCTAAAACAGAGAAGGAGGAGGGGGAGCATCATTTCATCTGAATGTGATACTTCAGCATCTTTAGTAAGGTGGTTTAAATATTTGGATTCTTTTAGATCTACACGGAATCTAAAAAAAGAAACATCGATGTTTTACTGGCAGATTGCAAAGGCAAGTATCAGTTTTTGGTGAGCATAAATTTTAAAAATTAACTTTCCCGGGTGTCGTTCCTCTCTTTTAAAGTGCGCACATTCCTGTCTTACTACAGCTTCCTTGATAAAGGCTTTGAAGCTCAGCGGAAAGCTGGAATCCGAGAATGCCATCTTCTTTGAATCGGTGTCATCAGCTGTTGGTGCCATTCAGTTGAACAAGGTGAGTCTCGCTGCACGAGAACAGAAGACGATAAGAGAGCTATCATGATTTTCTACCTCACTCAAATTCCCTCTGCAAAGTGGCCAATCAAATGTCTGTGGGAAATTCACAAACAGGGTGAGATGGTTATCTCTGTACCTTGTTCTTCATCTTCAGCACCCAGCAGTCAGGAGGGGTACTTTTTTCTGCATTTCTGGCATTTGCTGTTCACTACCCCAGTGCAAAATATTCCTCTATGCATCTTTTTTTTAAAAAAGCCAGTCACAGTAACCAGCAGCAATGACGTTCATAGGTGAATTATGGGCTATGTCATAAAGTATTTCCTTTTGTTTTTTTTACCTGCTAATTTCACTGGCTGACCTGAGATCTTATGCCTTGAAAGAGGTGAGTCATGCTTTTCCTATTTACTCTGTCCAGGGCACTCTTAGTCTGATATAGGGTTATAAAGTGGTGCCCTCTATATGGTTCTGGACTACAATTCCCATGATCTCTGACAATACTGATTGCGGCTGATGGGAGATATAGTTCACAAGCACCTGGAGGGTGCCACGTTGACTACTCCTACCCTATAGCATGCCCCCTCAGCCCTAAAGACATATGACAAGGGACTTAGCTTAGTGGTAGTGCATCTGCTTTGAATGCAAAAAGTCCCACTTTCAATTCCAGATGGGTCTTGAAATGTCCCCTGCCCGAAATCCTGGAAAGCTGCTGTCACTCAGGGTGGACAATACTGAGCTACATGGGCCAGTGGTTTGATTTAGTATAAGGCAGCTTCCTGTGTTCCTTTCTTCTTTTCTAAGCTAAACAGCCCCTTGACCTCCCTGTTTAACCTATAGTAGCCATTTCATTTTAAAAATCAGTGCGTGCACATGTGTGTGTGCAACAACATGAACAGCAGGTAGTTGGAAGCAACAATATACAGCGGTAGTGAGGGTCATCTACTGTGGTGTGATTGTCCATTCCTGCTTGCATTCATTCATGGCTGCCTACACCTGCCTAAGTCCAGCCTCACCCTTGCAGCCTCTGTTGAGGCGATATTATACGACACAGCTCAGGGGTATTTGGATTGGAACCAACGTTATTATATAAACTCTGTTTCCACATTTGTGGTTTCAAAGGGCGCAGACTTGCTTATAGCGTAAACTCATGCAAGATTCTCCACTGTAACTGTTATTAAACCATGTTCAGGCAGCGCATGGAGTTTTGGCTTTCCATTGTTTTATGCATGACTACAGCATTGGCTGGGGTCCAAGACAGAGTCCCCTCCAAGACAGATTAAAGTTAAAACTAGTCAATAAGCTGTTGTTTTCTGTTTCTTTGCCCTCCCCTCCCCTATTACCGTGAATAGGCACATTCTGCTAATTCAATTAGAAAAGTCTTCTTCCTCATTTTCTTCCAACATCGCTTTAGGCTGATTGACTAAAAGCTAAGGAAAACTGGCGGTGTTTGTCGAGCAAAATGCCGAAGAGGGGAAATGCAGTATTTTAGCTATTTGAAACTTACGCTCTCTTTGAGAGCCAGTGTGGTGTAGTGGTTAAGAGCGGTAGTCTTGTAATCTGGGGAACCGGGTTCGCGTCTCCGCTCCTCCACATGCAGCTGCTGGGTGACCTTGGGCTAGTCACACTTCTCTGAAGTCTCTCAGCCCCACTCACCTCACAGAGTGTTTGTTGTGGGGGAGGAAGGGAAAGGAGAATGTTAGCCGCTTTGAGACTCCTTAAAGGGAGTGAAAGGCGGGATATCAAATCCAAACTCTTCTTCTTCTTTGATTTAGTTTTTACATATTTATGGGACAAGCAAGATGTGTTGGGGGGAATTTTTCCCTCACAGCTGTTGTAGTTAAAGTGTGCAAGTAGGTTCCACACACAGAGAGTTCTTCCTTCACCTTGGCTTCAGTAAACAAACAACTCGCAGCTTTGCCCAAAGTGTGGTGGCCAGGTTCGAAGGTGCCTTGGGCAAGATGCTCTCCTCAGTACCATCCTGATGGGCTCCCCCCATTCACAAACTTGCCAGGTTGCACCAAAGAGCAGGAAATATTGGATGGTATCACACAGCCCTGGGCTGAGAACAAATGCTGGGGGAAATGGTTGTAGCTATCACCACTATCTTAATTTCTCTAGATGGCCTTTGGACTTCTTTTCAGAGTGCTGTAAAAAAAAAAAGCATTTTAAACAAAAACAAATTAAGTATAAGGAAGCCAATGTCAGCAGTGGTGGACTCTTCAAGCCCATTGGCTCCTCCATGCAAGTGCTGACACTGGGCTTGGTTTCAGACCACCTGTTTGCAGTGGCTTCCTCTCACTTGGTGGCCCTAGAGATCATGACTCATTGGGTGAAAAATGAATTTTCTGAAGCTTCCCTTAGTATCAAAGGAAAAATCAAACAGTGGTTCAGCAGGTTCTTTCTATCCTAGTGCTGGAACTAGCCAACACGCCCTCAAGTCCTTGGGTTCAGCACTCCATCCAGATTAGCCCCTGCAATCCAAACTGCTGCATTATTGTCAGGGATTCCAGGTCTCAAGCTAAGGTTTGAGACCTAGCCTAGTGAGCAGACACAGTGCCAGTACACAGAATCCTTGGGCAAATATAAACTCTGGCAAATGACAGCGTTAATGCTCGGGTGGCCAGCATAGTACCCACCAGAAGTTGTTGGACTACAATTCCCATAATTCCTCACAACTGACTGTGCTAGCAGGGGGCTGGTGGGAGGTGCAGGTCCGACACCATCTGGACTGTGCCAGTCTACGTTTAATGTGTGCTAGTGTGTTTAACGTGGATTCCGTGAGACAAATGAGTCCTTCTCCACGAAGCTAAGAAGTCATTACCTCTCAACATAACACTCCCATGAAACGCCAGGTTTGCATTACTAGCAGTGGTGGTCTTGTGAATTTTGGTGCCTGTGTTATACTACGATAACCTTCTTAGAACAGCAGGATATGTGCTTCTCACATGTGCCAAAGTGGATGTTTTATCTATATAGCTGACTCTTACATGTGTTAAATGCCACATATGTATTAACTTAAACTAATTTTCTCTGATGTGGGTTGATGTTGATTTTAGAGGGTTAATTGTCCACAGATTGTTCCAATATGCTGCTTCAATTGCTATGGCTAGGTCCATTTCCCAATTTTGTTTAATAACCAAGTTAATAGTCCAATGGCTAGATCAGTGAGTATTTTATATAAAATTGATAGCATTTTTTTGGATGTTCAGAATCATTCGTTCAAATGGTGTCATTGTTCTAATTCGCTTGAGATTTAACTGTTGAATTTGAGACACAATGCATCACCTGATAGCCAATTCACCCAGCATCCCTCCATTCTTTCCATGATCTGCCCTGCTGTGAGAGAAGTGTCATTTTCATAAAAGTGAATCAAGTGGTACAAGCCTTTTCTTTTCCCTTCATACCAATCAGTTTTCTATCAGGTTTGTAAAAGGATGGGAAACGTGATGCAATGTGAAGGGAATCGATAGTGATAAGGGGGTGTTAATTTCTACATCTAGGATTGCCAGATCTTTAATTCTGCTTTTGCAAATGGGTTTGTTATCATATCTAAGATAGTTCGGTTATGAATCAAGAATGGGATGCCTGGTATTCTGTATTGCACAGGTTTCTCAAATTCCAGTTCTGTCTAGATCTTCTCTTTTACATTACATATCATACTAATGACATTTTGTATATGGACCACATCATGGTATCTTTGCAAATGTGGTAGACTCTTGTACCACTTCTGGAAATGTTGATACAATACAGTTACTCACAGTCTAGGTCTCTCGCCCTGGGTCTATTTTCATTGTTAAATGCCTGGATTGTTAATGACTTACATGCTAATGCTTTCTAGAAAACTCTAGCTGTAGGGTGAAATCTCCTTCTTCTTTCAATTTTAGAATTTCTGCAAGCTTAATGAACACACTGAGGTCTGAAGCTGACCTGATATAGATATATTGAACCGCTTACCTACAGAAAGAACTTTGCCGGTGTTTCGTCAGATCTTCAAACATGGGATTTTGATGGTGATAATTGTATGCCAAGTCTATTTAACAAATCCAACATCAACAGTGTTTACTGTCAAAACGTTCCTGGAGGTATCTCTTTGAGTTACCAGCAATGACAGTTTTTTAAGAAAATAAAAAATAAAATTGTTATTTGATTGCTACATATTTTTGTATGCATTTAGATAAATAATAATAATTAGAAACCAATTTAGGACATTTCAGTAGTGTATATTGTTTTTAACTCTATCCTATTGTAACTTAGTTGTATCATTTTGTGCACAAGAGAATACAACCTTACTGAATTTTGTACTGCAGTCGCTGGTATCTAATCCCAAGGATCTACAGCTTGTTACATGGAAACACAAACTGTGATGTCCAGATTATTTCTTCTTAAATACGCAGGGCACCCATTAGAGCAATCCCACCATGCCCCTTTCATATTCTATCAAAACCACCAAGGTCACTGGCTATTTTGAGTGTTACTTATGTTCTACACTGCCATATGTATCTTCTCATGAACTTTAAAAACATATTTCCAGTTATGAACATATCCCCTGCTTTCCCTTCCGTTGTGAAAAGGTTTAGCATTTGTTGTAAAATTCTCAGGTTTGACCTATGCTGACAGCTCCATTGAATTAAGTAGAATGGTGCTAATTTACAGTGGTCAGGGGGGTGGTCTTGTAACAGAGGCTTATTCTGTGTCACATTTTACAGGGAATGACATGTGCTCACCTAGATCTGTATCTGCATACAGAGAGGGCCAGTTTGCGGCTCTAGATCTAAGTGCTCAGACAGATTCTGCAATCACAAAGGTGGGGTGGTGGTGTTAGGATATAACACTAAACCATAGTGTAGTGCTACATGCATGGGCCTGAGGCTCATCCTCTCCCTTCTGCACATTCTCCTTCAATGTGGCTATAGTATCCATGTGTATTTTAAGTTAACAGCAGTTTGTCACTTTGGGACAAGTGGTTTTTCATCCTGGCTCGTTTGGATAAAACAGTTCTGAGTTTAGACAAAGCAACAAACTCTTGTTAGCTTTAAACAGCCTGTCTCCTTCTCATGGCTATACTGAAGAAAGAGAAGGATGCAGGTTCGTGCATAGGATGCTAAATTATGTTTTCATATTACATCTAAACAATGATCGGGAGATTCTGCATAGATAAGTGGAAAACAAAAGTGCCATTGTTTCAAATAGTTCTTGACTAGCAGAACAGTTTATTGAAAGTGTTTCTAACCCAATGCACAAAAGTCAGACAAATGTCATAGATATTTAAGTGGGATTGCAATCTTTTTTGTTTGCTAATTACAGATAATTCAAACCACAACCAAGTTTGGGCAAAAACTGGAGGACATTAAGAATTGTATTTCCCCCCTCCCCCCAAATAATATTATAAATATCTAATCATGCAGTTTTAATTGCTTCAGTTAATAAATAAGGAGATAAATTTCTCCATCTGACACATTGGATTCTAGTGATAGGAGGACAATGGAGATACAAATTACGTTGTATAGATAGGAGACACATTGAAAGTGCAGGGTGTGCAAAATCTGACACTTTTCTCTTGGTGAATATTGCAGACTTTCAACATGTTGGCATTGCGAGTCTGGGATCCTAATCCACAAAAGCGGGTGTGCAGTGTTTGCAAAGCTGATTTAAATCATTGCATTGTGTTGCATGCCTCTCATTATATGTAGTTGTACAACTGTGTTCTCTAAGTAGTGCAGATTGGAATAATTCTTGCATGTCACATTTCATAATTTCCTTAATTGTGCATCATCTGCATTCAAAAGCCATATAAATTAAGGCAGATCTGAACCGTTATTACACATTGCATGCACAATTGGCTTTTCATAAAACAGATGTGCAATGGACACTTGTCTGAAACAGCGAGTACACAATTTTTGCTTCAGGGGTTGATATTCATGGCATCTCTATCAAAGTGGTGAATTCATCATTCATGCAAAATTTATTGTTATTCTCTCTCCCCACCCCCCCCACCTCCCCAAAAGAAATGAGCAAGCTTTCTACACATTATGGACTTGGCTCTAAAAAAAATAAATAGAAGCAATCCATAACAATTATGAATGGCTGGCAATCCTTTATTAAAATCACACGGTTCACAAACTTTTGTAGAATAGGAGGACATGTTAGGTTGATAATTTTGCAATGTGCAGTGTTACCATTTTCTGCTGCTAGCACTTATTGTGGTTATGATTTGCTTATTTGCAAAGAATGTAGGAGATCCGCGCTGTGCCCTGAGAGCTCCAAGCAATCACACTTAAATAATTGCCTCATGTTATGTTGGATTATGCTGGTTGTTTATGATGATGTCTGCAGAACATTGGGTTCACTTTCCAAATTGGCAGATCTTTGAAGCAATAAGTTTGAAGGGGTCATTTAAATTATACATTTGTGCATTTAAAAAAGAAATATGGAGGAAAACTGTTGGGTCTCAATCTGCTACAAGCTTTCGTTGACTCTGTGGGGAAGAGGGTTTTAAGTGGAGTAATAGTGTGGCTAGGATAACTTGCAAAGGGGGGTAAGGCAGCAAGGGTGACTAACTTGTGGCTGTGCAGATGTATCTGAATTACAACTCCCACCATCCCTTGCAACTGGCTCTGCTGCAAGGGATCTGGGGGTGGGCATGAGTGGACAAAGGTAGCCACTCCAGGACTAAGGCGAGAATCAAGCTATCTTCTCTGAGGCAATCTAGCTGCAGTCCTAAAAAAACCTGACTTTAAGAGATGGGTGTGCGCACCCATGTTTGAGTGTGCTAAAAATTGGGTGTGCAGAACATCTTCATTGTATGCCATCAGGGTTTGGGAGAAAAAAGTCAGCTGTTCTGGAGCAAATTAATATGTGATGAATGTTTCATTAAAAAATTTGACACACACACACACACACACACACACACACACACACACAAAACTTGCAAGAATTCACTTGGCCAAAAACTGTTTTTTTTAACACAGAGGTTGCCAACCCTGGTGCCCAAAAGGACACCCTGGTGCCTTTTTTAAAAAGTCAGTCCCTAGTCCATCTAGAAAGAAAGTTATAAGGCAAAATGTGCAGGTAACTTATAAGTGACTTCTGTGAAATAAAAGTGAGTGTTGTGAGCAATGCTCCCTGTTGCTATTAGACAGCATCAGTGTGTGCATAAAATCAATATTGAATTAGCTCCATAGTTGGGACTAGTAGGACATAGCTGAATTCCCACGACAGTTGTCAGGGGTGGCTGTCTTGTCTAATTTTGTGTTATGCCATGCTGCTCTATAGCAGTCATTTTGTGGCTGGCACTCCCAGGATACTCTCAAAATTCAAAATGTGTCCACTGGTCCAAAAAAGGTTGGTAACCCTTGTTTCAATGCACCTTTGAAGCCATAAGAACAATGCAGCTGGCATTGATTCTCTTTACCTTAAGCAGAATTTCCCAGAGGGTCCCCCCTTTTTCTTTTAAGCACAGTGTGCCAAATGTTGGTGAACTCAGTGAAGCAATAGCTCAGGATTTTGGAGGTTTGGGGTGCTTTAAAAAATATACCTGCGTGCAGAGTGAGGCCAAGCTTTTCGTGGCTGGCCCTGCATAACACCCAAGGTGGTTGTATCCCGCTAAGCTTAACTTAGGGCAGACCTACTGGAATGAATGGACCTATATTAGTCATGTTCATTCATTTCAACAGGTCTCCTCTGAGTAGGACTAGCACGAGATACACCCCAGAGTACTCAAAGCCAGCAAAGTTATTTTTGGTATAGGAACATAAGGAGTTGCCTTACTCAGAGTCAGACCATTTGATCCCTCCCAGATCAGTATGATCAACATCAACCTTTCATGGCACCCCAAATCAGCTTCCTAAGGATAGATCTGGCTCTCCAGGCTTCTTAACTGGGATTATTGGGAACACCTCGTGCATTTGGATGTGCCAAAATAAGGACCTGGTGATGCCCTGAGTCCCAAAACCTCTTAAAATGTGACAAAAACAAGCTGGGAGCCCCACAGGTTCACCTAATCAGCTCTGGGAGAGAAAAGCACACTGACATACATTAATGGGGTCCTCATTCATTATTGTCCAGGGTCCCATTAATTCTCTGCAGTCCTGCAAATTAAGCCACACAGGCTGTACAAACCTGCACTGCTACAACCTCTGTTTTTATGAACTCTTGTACGTGTGTGCGCACACACAGAGAATGTCAATAAAGTATTTAAAAAGAAACTTAGTGGAAATGATAAATTAGACATAAATACATAATAAGGGAGACTTGTTAGGATCATTGCTATGCAAATTAAATGTCCCTAATGTTCATCCTGTGCTTTCCCTTTTAAAGGTTATTTCCCCCTAAATCCCTATATTAAGTGCCACAAAGTCTGGCTTTAGCTACCTTGTTGTAATTTATTGAAGGCTGGGACAGAGCTGGATGGTATAAATCTACCGTGTAAGATACCTTCCTTGTTTAATGAAAACCTTAATGTGCCAAAAAGCATTTGTTAAGATTGTTTGACATTTACTGGCTAGCAAAATAATACTAACGAGTTGTTTAGAAAAGAATGCACTTCCTGGGAGGGGTACTTCCTTCTGTCTGCCAAAAGAATAATAATAATAAAATGTTTCTCATAAATAAGTGCGTTTCCAGACTGGATGTGAAATGGTGCTTTCATCCTTCTGATGGATTTTAGGAAGGATCAGACAATCTGCTCGTTTCTGTATGTTTAACAATGCATTTCTCTTTTGTTTGTTTTCCCCTGTTTGTTATTAGCATATGTAACAATAAATTTATATGGAAATAAACTGGCATGTAGATAATTTCTATGTTGGAGGAGGAATTGCTTGTTCTCTCTTTCACTGCTAAAAAAAATAATGTCCTGTGCTAAACAGTCCTCACTTTTTCAACCTGAGTTTTTAACAATTTAGTGATGATGCAATATAAAAGCATCAGATTGCATCCAGAGGCTAGGATGTCATATCTTGTATAAACATTTCTTCTACTACTTTGTCACCCACTCCACAAAAAAGGAATGTTGACTCTCAGCATGGTTTTAAGTATATAGTTCACTTGGGTTGATGTAGGCCTGGTTTGCATATAATACTAGACCATGGTTTACTAAACTATGACTTAATAAACCATGGCTTGCCATTGTGTCCAGCAGCTTAGGTTTGGTTTGTTTACTGCCAACAAAGCTTGATCTGAAGTCACAGCCAGTGCTGGATTTACGTATAAGCTAAATAAGCTATAGCATAGGGCCCCACTCTCTTGGGCCCCCCCAAAAAAAATTAAAGGGGAAGGAACTGGATGTACATTTCCAAAATATAAGATAAAAAACCAAATAAAATAAAACCTGCATACAGCAACAGTGTTTTGTGTTGTGTAGGCTCCTATGATGTAAGTAATGGGCCCTGCCTGCTAGCCTGCTCCCTAAAATATCACTGGTTTCCTCATTTCTATATATAGGGTGCCTACATTCTGCATGGACTGGTTGCATGGCAACATGTGCAAATGGCTTTAGATATCTATTTGGTCCATAAATTACCATATAGCAGATATTCAACACAAAAAACAGTGACAGTTTGCTGTTGACAAAGGACAGCTGGACATATAAAGGGCCCCATTACCTTCAGTAGCTTAGGGCCTCATCAAACCTAAACCCAGCCCTGCCTGGTTTGCACATAATACTAGACTATGGTTTACTAAACTATGACTTAGTAAACCATGGCTTGCCATTGTGTCCAGCAGCTTATTTGTTTACTGCCAACAAAGCTTGATCTGAAGTCACAGCACGCACACCCTTCATTGTCCTGAGAAAACCCCTTAATCCCTATTCCATTCCATTCCATTCTCTGGTAGATTTACTAAAAGAAAAACATGCACCAATAAATGAATTTTATAAAGGGGCAAGATTAGACATGGACACACAAAGCATGTTTTTCATTAAAAAATAATAATAATCAAGACTCCTTGTACTCCACTCCCCCTTTCTTTCTGCACAGGGGGCAGCCTTGCCCTCTGCCTGCCCTGCAGAGCCGGCACATCATGTGAGGTTGGCTTTCAGGGGTGACAGCCTCTTCCCCTCCTCGCCTCTCCAGCAGCCACTATGAGCTGCCCAGTGGAGAATGCCAGCAATGGCAGCCACGGAAAGGCAACAGGATGCTCTCTCATAGCCACAGCCGCTCAAGACAAAGAGCCAGCTCATCCTTCTCCCTGAGCTCGGTGGTGGCAGAGGAAATAGGTACATTCTGGGATCAAATCAGAAGCCCAGATGGCGTTCATAATTCCAGGACTGTCTCTGGAAAATAAGGACATTTGGCAGGGGGTATGCTGAACGCAGGATTATGTATAACTGCGCCAATACCATTGTGTGCACCGATCAGGAATGCACAATAAAAAGGACACCCTAGTCATTACAATTGCGTGGACTGAAGCTTTAAACACTGCTTTAAGCTTCTTGGGTTAAAAATGACTTGCGATTCACTGCTGCGTAGCTCGCTCGCTCATCTTACCATTACAGGTGAAGATGCATTCTGTAATACCCCCCAAAATCACCCCTCTATATGAGGTGTTTGGCCTACCTTCAGAAAGAAAGAGGCCTGCAGAGACAGGTGAAGCCATCCATCCTGAACCGCCTGGCTTTTGTAGGTTTAAGAGACAGTCCCTTAGCATTACTTTAACATAGATTTTTATGTGTGAATTAGCAACTAAATTCATTATGAAAACCCATTTACCAAAGGGCTGACACCAGACAAAGCCCGGGGCTGCTCTGGGACATAACATCTGTTCCATAAAATTTAACTCAGCCATTCCAACCATTTGTCTGTTCATTGCTGCTTTATAGTTTCTCAAAACAGCTACTTTTCTCCTCAGGACATACAAGTTCTGACACAGACTCACAAAAGGCCAAATGCCTCTCTCAGTTCTCCAAGGCAAAGCCAGCAAGAGCGAGACAGACAACAAACATGCCGATTTGACATTTAAAGAGGCACATTTTCTTATACATATAGATTTTTAAAACCCTTACTATTTTGCCTTTTCGTCATTCCCTGCCACATGCTGAATTGTGCTGATTTCTTTGTAGGTCTTCTGTCTACACAATGAGCCTTGATGTGTGCCAGTTAGCAGTTTAGCTGATGTGTTAAATGGCCTTGGTTACTAATTGAGGATGCTTCTCATGGCATTTTGGAAACTCGAGCCTGAAAGCAGCATATGCTGCTATTGCCCGTGATCGATCAGCCACATCGCAAAGATCCATAGGCTGAAATTGCCGTTAGTTGAAAGCTTCACATTATACCGTCTGCCTCAATTAAATTTAAACAAAAACCAGAAGAAGTAGCATCCATTCCACATCTCTTGAAGCCCTTCCTTCACCATCGCTTCAAGGGGGTCTTCCAGTTGGTATTTGCAAGGCTAAGGATTCCTGATGGAAGTTTAATGATTATCACTTCTCTGCAAAATGCAATATGGTGGAATACAACACCCCCATTGCTCCAAGTGGGTTGGCTTTTCATGTCAGAAATCCAGGCCCGCTCTCCTCTCAGTTGCAAAGTGGGCTTGGGCAGGTCATGATGTGCATAATAAAATTGTAGATAAGTAAAGTAAAGGTAAAGGGGACCATTAGGTCCAGTCGTGACCTACTCTGGGGTTGCGGCGCTCATCTCGCTTTATTGGCCGAGGGAGCCGGTGTACAGCTTCCGGGTCATGTGGCCAGCATGACTAAGCCGCTTCTGGCAAAACCACAGCAGCGCACGGAAATGCCGTTTACCTTCCCATCGGAGTGGTACCTATTTATCTACTTGCACTTTGTAGATAAACCCCTGCCCAAATCCACAAAACTATTTAAAATTACATAAAATAATTGTCACTAAACCACAAAGTAAAATCTATACACTTTTCAAAATGAACATAGGTGACTAAATTATGTATTTGGCTAGGCTAGGTGGAGGGAGGATAAATCACAGGCATATAAAATAATATAGCATGGGTATCAGCCTAATATCAATAGACAAGAGCACAGGTTATGCAGAGACTGTTCCTCTGCTTTACAGGGAGTACGTCTCAGGATTAATTGCCTACATTTCCAGGGAGAGCTGGGAAAGAGCCCTGTCTAAAACCCTGGAGAGCTGCTGCCTCTCCTTGTAGAATCAGAATAGACAGCAGGGATCAGCAAACTTTTTCAGCAGAGGGCCGGTCCACTGTCCCTCAGACCTTGTGGAGGGCCGGACTATATTTTGAAAAAAAAATAATGAACAAATTCCTATGCCCCACAAATAACCCAGAGATGCATTTTTAATAAAAGGACACATTCTACTCATGTAAAAACACCCTGATTCCCAGACTGTCCATGGGCCGGATTTAGAAGGATCTGGCCCCCAGGCCTTAGTCTGCCTACCCATGGAATAGACTAATAGAATCCTAGTACTGGAAGGGACACTGAGCATCATCTAGTCCAATCCCCTACAAGGTAAGAATATGCATCTGTCCCATATGGGGATCAAACCAGCAACCTTGGCATTATCAGCACCATACTACCAACTGAGTCAATACTGAAAATACTGAGCTACACAGAGGAATGACCTACGACCCTACGATTAAGAGTCTTATGCTCTACCGACTGAGCTATCTCAGCTGTCCTGACTCAGTATATTATATCATTATTTTTATTATTGATGATGATGATTAGATCTCAGGATGTTTACAGCATAAAAAGACAAGATAAAAACACAAAATACATAACAAAAACAAGAAGAAAACCAAAACAAACCAATGGCCCCTGTATTTAGAGGCAGCCCTTCATGTTGCAGTAATCTAACCTAGTGGTTACCAGAGCATAGACAACAGTAGTGAGGCTTTGTCCAGATAGGGGTGCAGCTGGGCCACCAGCCAAAGCTGATGGAAGGCACTCCATGCCACTGAGGCAACCTGAGTGGGCGACCAGATACCTGTGAGAAGCCTGCAAGCAGGCTTCACTCAACAGCACTCTTCCTTCCTGTGGTTTCCAGCAGCTGGTATTCAGAAGCATATCTATGGCCTTTCACCATAGAGGTAGAACATACCCATCAGAGTTGATAGCCCCTGAGAACCTTCTCCTCCCTTCCAACAAACTGTTCTCACATCAGTGCATCGGCTCAGGAAGCTTCTGCCAAGAATTCTGGGAATCATGGTGGGCCCCATACTCAGTCTAGGTTGGGTGCTGTGATGGCCTGGGAATCTGATTCAGAGGCTGAACCTGAGGAATCCCAGCCTGCACAGGAGTCCCCGCCTCCAGGGCCGGCTGAGCCGGGGCAGGGGCTTGAACCTGAAGGGCCCTCACCTGTGCCGGATCCTCAGGAGCAGACACCAGCTGAATCCTGTCTGGCTCCGGAGGTGATCGAGGACCCATTGCCTGCAGGTGCTCCTCTCCCAGCCCTGTCAGGGGAAGGTGAGGTTGCCTCTGGGTCCAGTAACTCTCCAGCCTCTCCTGAGCTGCAGAGGCTCAGGGCAGAGAAGCGGAGGGAACTAAGTTCTCGCAGGAGGAGTGCTCGCCTCCAGGCCAGGGGAGGCAAGTCACCTGTGGACCGGGGCCGCCCTATGCCTCAGAGGAGATAAAGGCCAGCCCGCCCAGTCCCAGGTTGCGGGAGCAACATCGTTGGTAACCTGTTCCTGCCAGCACCCTGACCTGCTCTCCTGAGTTCCTGACCATGCCCGACTCCTTGCCTTGGACCCCGCTTCAGCCTCGGACCGGACACAGACCATGCCGCACAGTAACATCCCCCCGGGACCAGCACAGGTGCTATGTTGCAGGTCTGTCAGGCTGCACCACAGTTCTCACCAAGCTGAGAATAGATCTTAGGGCAACATTTCCCAACTTTTGACCCCTAGATGGTGTTGGACTGCAACTCCCATCAGCCCCAGCCAGCACGGTCAATGGTCAGGGATGATGGAAATTATAGTCCAACAATGTTTGGGGACCCAAGAACACTTAGCACTACCATGTAGCTGTGCCATTTTAATGTTTTGAGTAGTAAGGGTCCAAGGGCACAGTCTGAGGACACGTGATACAGACACCTTGCTGTGGCTAAGCAGATCTGAAGTGGGTAAGGAGGAGCTGGATAGGAAACAGTGAGAGAAGAAGAGGAGGAGGAGTTTGGATTTGAAAACCCACTTTATCACTACCCTAAGGAGTCTCAAAGCGGCTAGCAATCTCCTTTCCCTTCCTCCCCCACAACAAACACTCTGTGAGGTGAGTGGGGCTGAGAGACTTCAGAGAAGTGTGACTGGCCCAAGGTCACCCAGCAGCTGCATGTGGAGGAGTGGGGAATTGAACCCGGTTCACCAGATTACGCGTCTACCGCTCTTAATCACTACACCACACTGGCTCATATATGTTTCCTTCAGTTCTATGACAAAAGATGAGTGATAGAGGCACTCAATAAATATAATGGTAGAAAAATTGTCTTTTAGGAAAGATTGTCTAGCATGACTAGTACTTTGTATAAGGAACCCCTAATAAACTTCTGAAGAACCCCACAGTTCCCTAGAATACAGCTTGAAAAACTAGTGATCTGGGAGATTTTTCTCCCTTTCCAGTATTTGTCCATTTTCTATTTGTCAAACTTTGGAGTTTTTGTTTTTGTTTAAAAAAATCTGTGTCCAGCCTTTTTATCCAGCCCATGTTTTCAGTGACGCTGAAGCTAATGATTTCTGCTTGTCCTGATTTGCCAACTTCCATCTTTGGTTCACCTGCATCATCAGTGATGTCAATAAATCCCCAGGGACAGGGTTTGTTAGCTAATTTGTGTTTTCTCGGCTGGCTGATTGGCTCCGGAGAGTATAAAACATACGATATCATAGATAAATAGTGGCTGTTGTTTTGTGTTCTTAGTTGGCAGTGTGATGGGCTTTTCAATTGTGATCTGTCCTCCTGCCAGATATTTAGATTGCAGGTTTTCATCACCCTACAAGTATGACTTCAGCATCCACGTTTGAGTTTGCTTAACAGCTCTTTTGTTTAACGTGAGTGAGTTTCAGCTGCATTTTGTACCACAGAGAAAAGGTGAGCCTAAGGATAGGCCCTGCATTTTGTTCCAATGACCAGAAGGAAGTTCCAGGCCAAAATGGGATAGTTCCCCCTGCAGGCAGATGGTGTATCAAACAGGGAGAATGTGTGGTCATCAGACACACAGAGACACACAGTCTTAATCTTCCTACCCACATCAGAGAGGGCATGCACTCAATAAACATATTTTGATTCTATGTTTTCTTCCATCCAAGTCCTAAACCCCATCTTATCCATACTGGGCTGCATACCAATTAGCAACCCCCATTATTTAAAATATACTTTCAGGTATTTGTCACACAAGGTTATGCTGCTGGAGGAGTGTAAGTTGATGCATGCTGAGAAAAAATGGATAGAGGAATGTTCCCCTCCCCCCATCTTGCATTGCTAGAACCCAGGGTCACCGAGGGTTATTTATTTTTGTGCATTTATAGCCCATCCTTCACCATGCAGTCCTAAGTCCTACTGCTAAACACAATTAAATCATGTGTGATTTTTCATCATCAAACTCCTGTGCATAAAAATGTATATCCTGAGATTGAAAGAATTATGGCTCACTACCTCCTAGCTGAGGCTTCCATAATTTGTGACCTTTTGCATGAAACCCTGACCAACAGCCACATACAGGCAATGACCAATATATGCACATTCAATTGATGTGCAACCAGGTACAGTGCCACAACCCAGAAGTGGCCGGAAAGGGGGCTGGAGTGGGGCTCCGCTGACATGTGCAGGGGTCAGGAACGCAACCCCACCACAATGGTTGTTGCTTGTGTCACGATGGAGGTGAAATTCAATTTTGTTTGAATTTTAACGAGAAACTACCTAATTTGCTCTTCTTAAACTAATGTGCAAGCTATCATTCAAAATACGCACATTTCCAAATTTTGCAATGCAGTTCTACAACCAAAGAAAGATACAATTATTAGGGAGAAATGCACAAATTTGTGAAAATGGCATATAGAAATGCATTATATTAGTGGAAATTGCTTGCAAAAATGTGTATATTAGCCAAAACTGCATTAAAGATATGTTAGGAGAAATAGCGATTGTCAAGGCTGCCTCAAGTCTCAGCTCACAAAAGACCAACGCCTATGTCTTCTTATATACAAAGGTGTTTATTTCAGTTCATTGTTTGCTTGACATCCTAGGCGCGCAGCCTTACGTCTCTTACGCTTAGACCGCTGAAGTCCCCTCTGAATCCGTCCCTCCCTGCACCAATTTAAGATGCTTGTGCTGCTCCACCTCTTTCTCTCTTTCCTTTTCCGCAGGGTCCTTCTGCCCGCTGGGGTTTCGCTCCTCCTGGATTCCTCTGACGCGGAATCAGACTGCTCTTCCCCCCTCCTGCGGGCTTTGGGACCTGGCCCTCCTCCGGGCTCCCTGTACTTCCGCGCGCCTCTACATTTGAACGAGGCGCGCGCGCCAAACCTCTAACTTTCCTTTTGACAGTTACACTACTCCCTTCACTGCTCCCTCCTTCCGGGAGGGCGGCTTGCTCTGACCTCCCTCCTTTCTCTGCTGCCGGAGCTGCTTCCTCTGACACACTGGAAACTCCACCCCTTCGCTGCACTCTGGTGGGGAGGCTGGTCCTGACGCCCAGCTGCCACTTTGGGATCCTCCGCTGGCCCCCTGCTCCTGACACGTCCCCCTGGGGCTCCTGGCCTTGACCACCGGCGCCCCTTCTGGGAATCCTCTGATTCGCTGGAAAGACTCATGGAATCTCTTGAGTCATTGTCATCCTCTTCCTCGCTGGCTTGGAATTCATCCCCATCGCTCTCCATCTCCTGCCTACCCTGTGCCTCTCTCCCTGAACCCCTGACAGCGATGAATGTTTATGAGGATTTTAGTCACAAACTGCTGCAAATGGTACACAATTTAAGTTTGGAAAAATGAGAAACAAAGAGAATCAAAATTCACAGATTTGCCCATCCCAATCTTAAGGAAATCAGCCCTGAGTGCTCACTGGAAGGACAGATCATGAAGCTGAGGCTCCAATACTTTGGCCACCTCATGAGAAGAGAAGACTCCCTGGAAAAGACCCTGATGTTGGGAAAGATGGAGGGCACAAGGAGAAGGGGACGACAGAGGACGAGATGGTTGTATAGTGTTCTCGAAGCTACCAGCATGAGTTTGACCAAACTGTGGGAGGCAGTGGAAGACAGAAGTGCCTGGCGTGCTCTGGTCCATAGGGTCACGAAGAGTTGGACACGACTAAACGACTAAACAACAACAACAAATTGTGACCTATTCAGTACCCCCACCCCATGCTATTTCTCTAGAAAAATATGTGCCGGAACTCACAATGAATGCCTCCCTTATTCTCTTATAAAGGCAATAGCACCCACCAGAGAGGAACTGGAATTCAGTTCCAGTGAGATCCGGCCGTTCCCTGTTTTGGTCATCCTATGTAGGTATCAAAAGCAGGCAATTTAATTGAGCCCTTTCCAACTGGTGCACAGTGTGACTGCCCATATCAAGGAGGCTTGCTCAACTCAACAAAGGTTTCCAGACTCTGGAAAACTGAGATCTTACCATGCAGCAAGTCCAGTTTTTGTCTTTTCTTGTCCTTCTAAACACCACGGCTATGAATC